TTGAGTTCATACTATAAAAACTACTTCTCTCTAAAAACAGATTCGTCGAGTCTCTTTTGCAAATCCAATTTATCAAGAAGGACTGGCAGATGACATAGATAGGAGAAGTCCTGTTATTAGATCCCATTCTTCTTCGCCATCTTCCCGAAGTCTTAAAATTTTATCTAATATTCAGGCTAAGGTAAGTTCTGTTACGTATGTTCTGTAGGTCATAAGTACTCGCGTTTCTCACTTATCATAGGTAACATTGCTTTAGTGTATGTTCAGAGTCACTCGCAAACAATTGTAAGAGCAGAGAATCAGTAAGTGTAAGAAATAGTTGTAACTGGTTTAGCCTGACTCATTCTGTTACTCTCTGAAGACAAATGCACGCTGAGATCTAGGTAGCTAGAATCTTACGATTAACTGAATTCCTGTGATCCTGAGAGATCTTTTTTCCTCTTTTTCTATCCAGCATATTACCACTCCAACCAAAGGATTTCTGTCCCCAGGATCTCGTAACCCTAAATTTAAGAGCTCAAAGAAGTGTTTAGTAAGAAGTGCTTTGGTTCATGTATCTCTTCTATTTTTTTCCTGTATTCAGTTGTGTGATAGTTAATTTAATAATTTTTCTGTATTATTCAAGATTAAGGAGATGGCTAAGGAATCGCTGCCTTGCCCTACAGAATGCGTGTATCCTGCCTTAGTTGGCTGCAAAGCACCGGTTGATGTAATTTTACCTCAGATTACATCAAACATATGGTAAGTCGATTGTTGCTTTTGAAGATTACACTTTAATTGAAACTGAATTCTTACTCAACCTACAAAACCAAATCTTCTGATGCAAAATGTGATGACTTAGAGACATCTTTTGCCAAATATTTTTAAAAGGAGGGAGTTGGTTTGGTGGGGGAGAGACTTAACTGTTTTGGAATTACTCAGGTCTTTTTCGTAAGACTATGAAAAGCTTGTACCCAGGAACACGGGGAGCTCTCTCCACTTCACATGGCAGAGCAGACTGATCTTAATGATCTGTGACAAAGCAGTTGGAGCTTTCTGTGTATTGAAGGTGAAGTGGAATTTAAAAAAAAAAAATTAAACATGTACATTTCAAATGTACAAAGGCCGGGTGCTCACTAGCTTGCTTTCCGAGCTGAATTTCGACTTGTCACAACAATCCGTAGATGTGCAGTGGGAGCTGCTCAGGATGGCCTTTCTGGTGTACTCGGCTCCTTTTCCTTCCACTCATACCACATAGGAGTGGGCTTTAGAACGCTGTTCTCTGGATATAGGATAAGCTGCAAAAAGGTGTGCTTCTGCAGATAGAAGAACGTCATTTGCATTTTGTTTTTCCTTCACTTATGTGCCTGTTAATTGGCATTCGTGTAAGATTTCTTTCTGCTCCGCTGTGCCAGGCAGAAAGGACACAAATTCTAGCATATTAAACCATTTTTCTTTCTCCCCTGCTTCAGCGCCAGAGGCTTGGGGCAGCTCATTCGAGCAAAGAACATTAAGACAGTGGGTGATCTGAGTACTTTGACAGCATCAGAAATCAAAACTCTTCCCATCCGCTCTCCGAAAGTTTCCAATGTTAAAAAAGCTCTTAAAGGATATCATGAGCAACAGGTAAAGTTTAATTTTAATACCCCAAAAGCCAATATTAGCCTAATGAACTGCTGACATCCATCGTGAGGAATAATGGGGTTTTTCCTCCATTAGAAATAGCACTTTAAAATATAATCTCTACTTCTCAAAGTAACATGGGAATTCAAGGTACAGGTGACTTGGTTACAATATTATTAACGGGAATAATGATTGTATTTATTATGAGGTTAAAACATGTCCCCCCATGTAATCTCTTTTTTTTTTTTTTTCCCTTCCCCCCCCTCTGAAAATGCATCTGTTCTCTCCCAAAAAATCTTCAGGTAAAATCTCGAGGATCTGAGGAAGTAGCAACGCTTGAAGATGCAGAAAAGCCTGTAAATAACGTAGAAGATAAATCTCTTTCTGTAGATGAAGAAAAACTGGCAACAGGTACCTATTGCCGGCTTTTTGCTTAGGATTTGGATGTTTCTGCTTGTATTGCTGCTTTCATTCTCTCCTAATGGGAACACTTGATTTTTTTTTGAGAGAGAGAGTGTGTTAATAGCTAATACTAGCACTTTTGAGAGAAAGAGAGTGTGTTAATAGCTAATACTAGCACATTAGATGGTTGTTTGAGTTAGCCACTTTATGAAGCCGTGTAGCAATGGCTTTTTAAAACTTATTACATATTTTGAGGGAAGGATGCTGGTTTTCCCTAAACGAACTTGCGTAAACACGCGAAGAACAAATTAGGCAGGGCTCCAAGCACTTAATTTTCTTAATCTCAACCGGGTATGTCTCCTGAGCTGTTTAATACCGTAGCAACTGCTGTGGTTCTGAGTAGGCACAGAGACAAGCAAGATGAAGGGTGGGACAGGAGGGGGCCGACTCCCTGGATACCCATTTTGGATTCGGGTGCCTAGATTTTTATTTGAAATCTCCTGTGCGTGTTGGGAGTTTGGCCCGATAGCTTGAACAGAGGAATTCATGTTTGGTCTTCCTACAAGATACTTGAAGCTTTTGGTTAACTGGAGAACAAAGAACTCAGGAGTAACTTCTCCTCAGCTGTCCAGTTTAAAAGTTGGACTTTGGGATAACACGTCTCAAAGGACACTGGCAGTATCTGAATATGATAGAATACTTTCATTTCTGTCCGTAGTTTTATTGTACAATCATGAATATAATGAAAGTCACCGTAAAGAAGGGTAGCATGGAGTTCTGAGGGGTGCCCTGGTCAGAAGCTCCCCTATTGTGTGGAACAAATACTTTGTAGACTGCTTGAATATGTTGTTTTGTACAAAAGAAGCTGTAACATTCCGCTACAACATAATTCTGCTTAGATTTAAACCCAGACACGCAGACTGCACTGCCCTACTTCCCTTCCTTTTCAGATTTGATTGAACCAGTTGTCTTGAATACAAACGACCAGCCCACAGCAGATCTTCTGAGCCAAATTGATGCACTTGCTGCTCAGCTGACCTCTGAAGATCTTCATGGCTATTCAGGAAGCCAACTTTTTGAGATGCAAGAAAAACTTGTTGGCATGACAAACTGTATCATGAAAAACCTGCAGTCCCGCTGGAAATCGCCACCCCATGAAAGTTCTGATTAGTTGCTTATCATTTCTAAATAAGGAGGATTTTGTTACAACAATTTTCCCCAAAACCTGCTTTTCTTACTGGTGAATTACTCCTTAAACTGTGCATTTTGTACTATAGAAGATTTTTTTAACACCTATATGAGCAAAATGTATCGCAGTTGTGTTTTTTCTTGGGGTCTTTTGTTTAATTTGTGGGATTGCTTATTCCCTATTAGAGGTATTTGTATTGTATTGCTATGCATATTTCTTTCAGGTAGTGAAAGGAAACTTGATAAAGTTGTGCAATAGCAAAGACTGTGAAACCAAACTAACAGAGTAGTTAAATTATTTTTTCAAATCCAAAGTGTTCTTACTGCTGCAAACCCTTATTATTTGGAAAGAGATCGATCTCACAGCTCTGCTCATCTGCTGCCTGTTTGTTTCCTTTTAAGTTGCCAAAACTCCGACAGTGGCTCTTTTCAGCACCGTTTTATATTGAGATAAGTTGTGCTTAATTCCATACAGCAGCAACAGTCCAGGAACGCAGATTTGACAACTGGATGACATCTATTTTTGCATGTATTTTTGTAAGAATCACACTAAGAAGCTGATAATGCAGTGTGCCTTCACAGGCGAAAGGCTTTGCAAAACTTCTCAGGCTTTTTCCCATGTTCTGTGTTTGCAGCAGTTCTCCTTCCGTGGAGAAGACTTTGTCCTTGGCGAAATGAATGGATTTGACAAGAGCTCTTTGTATATTATGTACAGACTCATGATGGCAAATGTTGGCTAGTAATTTATGATTTTGAGTTTTAATTGCATGGAATGCATTGCTGCTTCTCGGAGACCTTCAGAGAGAGTTCTTGGGTTTTACTCTGAAAATCTAATTTGTATATATTGTACTGTAGCTATCAAAATGGACATTTATTGAAAAGAATTGCTGCAGGTGGTTTTAGAACTTACACATGGGCAAATAAAACAGCAGATAGTTCCCAAACTTGTTAATGTCATTGTGGTTTGGTGGTTTTGGGCTTTGTTTCGTTTTCTTCTTCAGATCTGTTCAGCCCTCCCTCAGCACTGCTTTGGATTCACAAGGTTGGGGGGGACCTTGGAAGGTCATCGCTGCTGCCTTAAGGTAGGAGCAGGTCCTCAGGGACATGGTAGTATCTTGTCAGCAAGACTCGGAATATTCTTTGCCCTGTTCAAGCATCTCATGAAGCAAGTGAACAGGACAAAGAGGTGTCTTGGAGCTATAATGGGAACAGTGCCAGTGAACAGTTGTCTAGGTTTTCTTCCTTTCCTGAAAATATTATTTTGGTGCCAAATCTGCCTCCTTAGGTTTATTCATCTCTTGTATCCAGTGACCTGTACAGAAAAGGATGTTCCTAACACATCTCGAAAGGGTGTTGACATCTTTGTTTAACTAACCCTTCAGTGCTGGCAATCCTGAATCCTGCTCTGAGGAAGGACACTTCCCTTTCAAGCTGGTTGTGTACACCATGATGTGCTGCGAATTCCCTTTGAACAAAGGCCCTCAGAGTTAATGTTGCAACTCCTACTGTCAACTTGTTTTTAATCTTGTCTATATTGGACACAGTATCCAGTGATTTCTTATTTCCTTCTTTCTTGGAGACTGGCTGGTACCAGATGCTTCAGGAGAGGAAGCAAATAACTGCTGTGCTCATGTATGAAATAATTTGTCCGGTTCATTTGCAGCCCCTCAGTTTGACTTCTGTTGTGGCTGTTACCATCCTCCATCACCACCTGGGTTGTCTCCCTTTCTCAATAGTTTTCTGAACAAAGCCAGTTTGTTATGCGATGTATTCACTCATGCTGAAGAGCAGGAATCAATCAAACATACTGCAGAAACATTAGCTTTATTTAGTCACTAATTTACAAGTAATAACAGCTTTTGACCCCAGAACAGTTGCATGAAAAACACATGCATAAGAGCTTGGCAAGCAGGAGGAGAGGTGTTTGGGTTTGTTTCCCCCTCCCAGCTAAACATTGGTTTGAGATACTAAGCTTAAATGTTGCTTATATGGAAGAGAAGTGAATACATTCAAACATTTTAGAATAGCCCAGAAAAATGCTGTCTTTGTGGGAGAATGAATAAAGTAATACGTCGTAGTCTTAGTCTTAAGTACATGTATAGAATTTCAGAGATGCCAAACTGGATTGTAGTTCTAGCATAGTTAAACATTGTGGTGGTATGCAGTGTTGAAATGTTTGAAAGTCCAGGCAATGTTTAAAAACTTTTTTTTTGAGACACTGGAAGAAATAGTTTTCATGAGCTTGTTTCATGTTTTGAAAGGATGTTTCTGAGTGTTTTGCTCTGCAGTTACTTTTTTTTTTTTAACATCGTGGTTCATAAGGCACTATCACCATGGAAGACAATAAGGCACTTTGGAAGAAGTGTTACAAACCCTTTTCTAAGGCTTACATGTTGAGAAGCACCAGCATGTCTGTGCCATGCAGATATGCTTTATGGAAAGACGTGCTTTGGTTTAGACAGCTTCTACATAGTTGGCTGGGAGCATGCCAGTCTTGCCGGTTCTCTGGACAGTCCCATACATCCAGCCTTCATCAATTGCTTGTACGTTTACGATTGTGTCACCATCTTTGAAGGAAACCTCATCGGCATCAGCTGCCATGTAGTCATACATGGCCCGGTAGGTCTTCTGTTAGTTTTAAGAGGGAGGGGCAAAAAAAACAAGAGACACATTTATACCCCTGCTGTCAGCACCGACAGCCATAGCTGTTGGTGACAATCAAAATGTAAGAGCTGGCTCAGGGCAAGTTATGTTTTGACCCGTTTTGGTACTCTAAAAGTACTACTGATGGCAGTATCTGGCTGGTCTTTTAAATCTGGTTTCAGATCATTAAATGTTTCTTGTCAGTAACTAAGTACCTTAGTTACCAAGTACCACAGGTTAAAGCCTGTGTGTTTTAGTGACACTGAAGCTGAACAAAATGTTTTCAGAGGATACTTGAGCAGTATCAGCTGTAACTTTAAGGTCTTGCCTCCTGGCAGATCTTGTGGGGAGGTGATGCCATACGCATTGTCATATATCTACTCTTAAGACTCACTCTCAGGAGTAGGAAGAAGTGTTAATTTAAAGTTTTTGAGAACAGGTGAGGGTCTATCCTTCAGTGAACCTTGTTACACCTTCACCTGGTTTTGTACCAAGCTTCAGCCCAGTGGGTAGGCACATTACCAACCCAATCCTGGATTAACATCAGCTGAAGCATGGTGGAGCATGCACCATCAGCTACCAGGGACCTCCAGGGCTGTGCACCTTTGGTAGGTAGTCAGATTAACTCCTGCAGCAAGACTGGGATTGTGTGTCTTAATACAACTGATCAATGTTACTTACGCCAGCAGTAGATGGGTGAGAAGGAACCGATGATACCGTTGTTTGCTGGGTGGCAACTGACGATGAGCGTTGTTGTGGTAACTCTATAGTTTTAGCATGCTTGTAGCCCACTGCAAAAGGAAAATATGTTTTGTATTGTTTATTACAGAATTGGTGATAGGGTTAGAGTTGCTCTGAATAAATATTGTGGGATAGGTCCTTAGGTGGGTCAAAACTGCCTTTTACCCACTGAAATACAACTTTACAGCTGTTGGTTATGTCCACAACTCAACATTTTGCAGGTGTACTTCTGTGCTTTTTCCTGGCAAAAGGAATCACTGAACATGAGCCCATGACCAGTACTGCCCTGCCAGATGGTCTGGATGCCATTTGTCCTCATATGTGAATAAATGGCATGATGGTTCTCCTCATACCTGTTGCAGTTGTGGTGAAGAAGCCCGCGTTGCTGTAGTAGGATAAATGTTGATCTACGCCGTCTGAGGGCTCGGATTTTTCATCGCCACCACTGAGGCTCAAGGCACTGGCAGAGCGGGAGTGCTCCCGGCTACGGCGCTGGGCTTGGACTGCAAGGAGAAAGCAGTGGGAACCAGTTCATGTCTTTATTTTGTAAGGAGATGCACACATAGAGATACGTGTGTGTGTGTGTGTATATATGGATATACACACATATATAGGTTACTTTATATACACACACATATACGTATCTATCTGCGTATGTACGTATTCTGTAAAAATACCCAAAGCTCTCTACCATTGCTACCAAACCTGGAGCCGTTATGCTTATACTGATTAGAAAACTGACATAGGCCACGTGCATGCTAAGCAGAATTGGTTACTGTATTTTACAAAATTAATGGAAAAAAGCATATGAATTAATCAGAGTCTGTTTTTATGGTTACTCAATGGTATTTGCCAGGGCTTTTAAAAAGCGTTCTATGGACACCACGCTGAAGTTCTACTCAAAAAGGCACAGTTGTTAGATCCCTGTTATTTTTAACATAGTGTCTGAAGTCAGCACGTAAAGCTACACTTGCATTCTTGCATAGGTAGAGCGCTAAGCTAAGCTGTACTTCAGTAACCCCAAGCTGTCAGTTTTACTGATTGAATTTGCACAAGCACAAAACCTATTTTGCACAAATATACAGCCTATGGAACAAACCAGAGATCATATGTAAGCTTCGGGACTGAATATTGTCTTCTGCTGGGTCGTAGTCAAAGACTGACCCGGGATTAGTGCGCCACACACGAAGACCTGTAAGAGAAAGCATTTGCTGAGGAGAAGCTGTAGCTCAAGCAACTTTCAGAGAGCTTGAACAGCGCACGTCTGTCCTCAATAGAAGGGTAAACAGTATTTCATGAATTTGTATTTCTCAAATCTATAGCACAGATTAGGCTTTTTTTTTATTTCATCTACATCAAGTGAGCTAAAGTATTTCTCTAATATGCACAGAGGTGAAGTTAAAAATATAAGTAAGAAATGAAAATCTAGCATTACATTACAAAGTTGAGCAGGATGGGAGAGGCAGAGCACAAATGGTTTACAGCTGCTCTAAGAGAATATTTTCAAAATGGGCTTTGATAAAAACATGATCTCCAAGTCACAATAAATTTGAATTGCTGTGGCTGAGCTTACATAAAACAATTCATCAAGGTCAGCTTGTGTTTTGTGTAAGTGAAGTACTCGAGTCATTCTAAAACCTAGGTTCTGCTTACCTGTGAGATTCTCTTGATCCTGGTCCACGCGCTTTCGCTCCATTTCTACTACTCGCCTTTGAATGCCCCTGTAGCTAATGTCACTGAAGTCCTGCATGTTCTTTTTCACACGTTCTGTAATGGGGTCGGTAACTACAGGTGTGAAACTACCTTTGCTCTTCTCAAAATCTTCATGATATTTCACCTGCAATTTAAAACAAAATGTCTGTTCTCTGTAGCTTAGATGAGTAATTTTTATTCCTGCTTACCTCAGGTGAATTTCTAGTAGAGAGGTGCACTGCTGTTCTGAACTTTAGCTTTCTCCAGTCCAAGGAACAATGAGAGAGAGCCTAATCCCAAACATGCCTTTCCTGCAGTCACTCTTGCCTTTAGCATTTAAGAATTTGGTTAACAAAACTTGGTATATGTACATTGTCCTTGAGCTGCCAATCCCAGAATGTCTCAGGAAAAAGGTTTTTATTTAAATCACTTGCCAAGCTAAAAATACATCTATAAATGCTCTTACTGTAGAGATATGTTTCTGGGTCTCTCGTACACGCCGCATTTCAGGTGTATCCAGTACATACGCAGCTTTGCCTTGTACTTGTTTTCGGAAACTATCCGAATAAAGAACCTGCCAGATGAGAAAAAGGAAGTGAGCACAGGGCACAGAACTATTTCTGCATCATGAGGAATGAGCTGTACTGAAGCAACCTGGCAAAGAAGGAAAAACAAAAAACCAGCAGCCACTGTGTTGGTGAATAACATTAGAATGCAAAGCAAAATTCTTTTTCATAATTCTATGAGACATGGACAGCTCTGGACTTGATCCCAAACATCCTTTTTCTTAACTACAAGATCCTTACCTTTCTTAACCTTGTAACAACAGGTAAAGGTAATGTAGTAATAATGTTCCAGGTAATATCTTCGTATATTTGAATTGCACCTCACTGACTTTAGTGAAGTTATCAGTGTGAAACAGATGACGTAATTAGATCTGTATCATTGAAATAGTACAATTTTTGCTGGGTTTGTAGCGTTTCTTTTTTGAGCGATAGCAGTTGCATCACGCTTCCGTAAATGTTTGTTTGCAGATACTGTATTACTGGATTTATTGAGCAAGCCATGACAACATTCCAGGTCAGGCTGGACGGGGCTCTGAGCACCCTGATCTAGTTGAAGATGTCCCTGCCCAGGGCAGGGGGGTTGGGCTAGATGACCTTCAGAGGTCCCTTCCAACCCAAACTATTCTGTGATTTGATGATCTGTTCTGTATATAGACATTTACAGGATGGGGTATGACAGGATTTACCTCTGGAGTAACAGGTTAGCAAAAAGGGGCCTAAAGAAGACGACCATTTCCAGATTTGTCATGTTTTTATAGAGAATGTCAGAAATCTAACATAAAACACGCTGTTACTGAAGTCATACAGTAGAAGACCAGTAAAAACAAGATATTTGCAAGAGACTTGAAGGCAACATATGTTATTTAAAATTCAACTGTTGTTTAAAAAAACCAAACCAAACTAAAGCAGTTAATCACACAGAAAGAAATAGTTGCAGCAGAAAATAAAAAGCAAGTATTAAAGGATTTGATTTTAGTATGGTTACTTAATACTTCCAAACTAGATAGCGAGGTAGTTATGTTAACATCTGCACTGTTAATTTCAGTAAGGATTTCAGGGATTGAAATGTTACTTTTTAATGTATTATCATTTATTGGCTGAATGAATAGAACATACCGAGCTGATGTTTTCTTGATTGCGTTTAGCTCTCTCCATCTCTGGAGTCATTGGTGTTGGAGTTCCTTTTGCCAGGTGTTCCTTGTACAAAACCTACAGTGTAGAAAAAGGTGTCCACAAATCACACTGGAATAATTCATAGCTCATTCTGTAAATGGTGTTATTGTTTAAGCATACTCATCACTGCAGGGGTAGAAAAGATCTCGGGAAATAAAGCATCTAGAAAGTTATTTGCTAGAGCAAAAGGTAAAAATCAAAGGGAAAAATAGGCAAAAATAAGGAAAACTGAGAAAATAAGGCTAAATTAGAAGTGGAGTTTTTGTTCAGAATGGTTATTTTTAATATAAGGTGGTTGTCTTTCTTCTTTCAGTACCGAGCTAATGTGTTCTTGATTGCGTTTGACTCTCTCCATCTCTGGAGTGACCGGTGTGGGGGTTGCCTTCCCTAAGCCTTCTTTGTATACAACCTACAGATCACAAAGTAATTCAAAGTCACAAATGTACAAATTAAAACCCGTAATGTTACTGGTTTTAGAGTAAACACCATCCGTTATGAAAGAAAAAAAAGGTTGGAGGAAAAATAGTATTAAAAAGTTAATTGACAAAAAAATATTTTAGGTACTATAATTTTAAAGAGATGACTTTCATAGTTTGAGGGAAAAAAATTAGAGGGTTAAATAAAACCAGGCAGACTTAAGTTATTAACAAAAAGTGCTCTATCATATCCCCTTTATTTCTTCCAGACAATACCGAGCTAATGTGTTCTTGATTGCGTCTGACTCTCTCCATCTCTGGAGTGATAGGTGTGGGGGTTGCTCGCCCCAAGTTTTCTTTGTACAACACCTGTGGGATACAGAAGATAAAATTAGAGGGTTAAATAAAACCAGGCAGACTTAAGTTATTAACAAAAAGTGCTCTATCATATCCCCTTTATTTCTTCCAGACAATACCGAGCTAATGTGTTCTTGATTGCGTCTGACTCTCTCCATCTCTGGAGTGATAGGTGTGGGGGTTGCTCGCCCCAAGTTTTCTTTGTACAACACCTGTGGGATACAGAAGATGTATCCGGTATCTTAAAAAAAAACCAAAATCAAAAGGATTTGAACACAAATTATTACTTTGTTATCAAATTTCAAAAAAGTTGTGACTGATTATGATATGCAGCACTGCACAAAAGCCAAACATCTACTGCTGTAAGGAAGGTTAAGAAAAATAAACTGTAAAAGAAAAGCTTGTTATTTTTCTGGTTAACAAATAAGGACTCTATCCAGCTTACAGCTATGACGATGGCTCCATAGGCTTGGGGAAGCTGCCTGTGGCCCTAGAGAACTATTTAAGAAATGTTTTATCTGCTGTTTTATCTACATTTGAAGCAATTTCTGACCTTTTGGGGAGGGAGGAGGGAGTTTTGTTGCCACACGGACATTGGGCAGCCAAATAAAGAAGGGTATCAAGGATGGGTGTCTGGTATCACTGCACCATTACACCTACACATCTCCTCAGTCCGTGAGGCCACCTATCGCTGATACGCCATCCAGAGCAGGAACAGTCTCGTTCCTTTTGTGTTATTCTGTTTAAGGCATCCCAAGTCACCTGTCACAGCAATATAATCTCACATGGGTCAGAGAGGTGGGATTTTTCAGGGTGGGGCGGCTAGGTTTCTTGATTGATTGGTTTTCACTAAAGTCAAATACCCCTGAAAAGCCAATGAAAGCTTAAACACTAAGCATAGAGAGAGAGAAACCTGAATATCTTCACCAAAGGATGCTAAGCTCTTATTATTGTCTGGATAGAGCCCACAGGTACACAAAACGAGTTGTAGAAAAGGCCTACATTTCTGGATCAGACTGTTAACACTAAAGTAATCTTATTTTAGAAGAGGAGCAATTAATTTGCAGAAACAAATATATCTTTTTTTTTAAATTAAAATCAACTTTCAGTAGGTAGTTAGAATGTTACTTTATTAAGATATAAGCACAAAGGAAAAAAAGAAATATATCTATTTTAAGGTACCGAGCTAATGATTTCTTGATTGCGTTTGGCTCTCTCCATCTCTGGAGTGATTGGTGTTGGGGTCACTTTCCCCACATTTTCTTTGTACAAAACCTACAGGATACAAAGGAGTATCCAAAAGTCATTAAAAAGGCACCACCACCACCACCACCAAAAAAACCCCAAAACAACATACAATATAGCTTTTGAATCATTACACTTAGAAAGGGTTAGATTTGGGGCACAATGCTGTTCCCAAAAGAAACAACGGGAGCTTTGCCATTAGTCTACTAGGATGCAGAAATGGACCCTGTATGGAATCAACTCTGCATAAAAGCACACTTGTAGTAAGAAAGGGTTAAAAAGAAATTGCAGAGAAACAATATCCATCCCAAAAAAGGTCAAACCTAGTTCTAGTAAAATCCTGCTTCAAACAGTGTTAAATAGAAGGTATTGCGATTTGCTTGTAAGCACAGAAGGTAGGAGGTTTACGCTACATGGCAGATTCATTTTATAAAGTTAGAAAGCACAGATTACTAAACTGCTACAGTTATGTTAAACACTTCATTCAGATCTTTAGGAACTGGTTTCCTGTTAAAAATACCGAGCTAATGATTTCTTGATTGCGTTTGACTCTTTCCATCTCAGGAGTGACAGGTGTTGGGGTTGCTTTCCCTATGTTTTCTTTATACAACACCTATGAGACATAAGAAAGGAGCCAAAAGAAAGCAACAATAAATAAAAAGCTATCCGCAGACAAACTTAAAGCCAAAGGCATTTTTTTCTTTTAGTTATTTTCTCAGGTCCTATGTATTATACATTTTTAAAGAAGGTACTTAGCAATATTTTACTAGAGAGTAGGGTTTGGCATATTGCCTTTTTAACTACAGGATCACTTGTAATAAATAGTGTAAGTAAGTACTACATAAATGAGACCACAAAAATACCATATTGAGGGGCTGAGGATGTTATGAATATGTAAATTATAATTTAAAAAAAAAGTCAGCATTGCAGAGAAAACGAGTGAAGTTTGTTAAGTGTTTTTAGGAGTAGAATAGGGCATTAATATCACTCAAGAAACAATAAAAACTGTAACAAGTTAAAGTCACCACTGTAAACTACAGTAAGACATGAGTAAGAAGTAATCACTGATGTAAGCTGCTTTAGAGCTAGGGTCAGCATTATTTTGGAACAAGTGTTACAATGTCCATTTATTAAAAGTGTTAAAATGTTCTTTTAAACAGAGTTAAAGGGAACTTTTTTTCTTAGCAAAGTACCGAGCTACAGATTTCTTGATTGCGTTTGACCCTCTCCATCTCTGGAGTGATAGGAGTGGGGGTTCCAGTCCCCACGCTCTCTTTGTACAACACCTGTGTAGTAACAAGAAGCATCCAAAAACATAATCACAACTCAATAATAATTACATCCAACATGAAGTCAAATATTTAAGTCTGCTGGAGCTCAGGCTGCTCTAATGTGCCCTAAAAGCTACCCCTGGAAGCAATGAAGACTGGATTGCACCCGTGAGGGTCTGAAGGCAAAGAGGTCTATGGTTTTATCTTAGCCGGTGCAACAAATCCAACAGAAGCCTTCTTACGTCAAATACATTTTCACGGTGGAGGAGAGCTTTTAGACTACCACTGAAGCCTGCTAGAAAGTCAGACCCTCCCTCTTCCATGATAACAGCGTTAAAACACGAAACTGATAGAATTTTAAAAAAAGAAAACATATAGAAAAAGGAAGTTGGAACAGGGAGGAAAATGGTTAAAAAATATTTAGGATAATGTAAATAATTACATATGTGAAGAAGTGGTAGGTCAGTAACATGGGAAAATATAGTACAGTGAAGAAGAAAGGATGTTTTTATAAGTTGATTACATGGAAGTAAGGAGTGGAATTGTTCATTTTTAATACAGGTTAAAAAGTTCTGTTTAAGTGGAGTTAAAGGGAATACTTCTTTTCCTCCACAAAATACCGAGCTAATGTGTTCTTGATTGCGTTTGACTCTCTCAACCTCAGGAGTGACAGGTGTTGGGGTTCCTGTCCCCAGATCCTCTTTGTACAACACCTGTGGGGTAACATGGCTATATTAAAAAAAGAAAAAAGGAACAAGCAAACAACAGTAACACGCAGCTTGCTGAGAGAACAGCCTGAATATTTTTCAAAGTCACTCTGAGCCAAAGCTTGGAATAAAACAGATTAAAATGCTCCTCAAAGCTATACAGCTAAACACTAATACTCTGCAATACCTTCTCTATTTGCTTCTCAGGAGCTATACAGAAGAACTGTCTGTGCAACAGTAAACCGTTAAAGACTTCCTAAAGGCAGAAAGTATCAAATACAACACAAAAGGAATAAAGAAATCAAGTCTGTTTCATTTACCCATTCCATAAACATCACAGCAGGTTACACTGGCATGTATTAGAGCACTGTTATTCTGAGGTCATAGCCACAGATTTGTATCAGGTGCTGAATAGTTTAGTTCTCATATATAAAGTAAGTAAAATCAGAAAAAAAAAAAACCAAACCACCACACAAAACAAAGACTCAAAAGAAAGGTGGAATTAAAAGTTATTATTAAGATGACATAATAAAAAAAGAGGAACAAGAATGATGTAAGTAACAATTATAGAGGAAAAAATCTCAAAGGGAACAGGATATTATTTTTTGTGTAAGTTGATTATAGGGGAACAAGAATGGCTTTTTATGTGTTAAAAGTATTTTAAAATAGATTAAAAGGGAAATTTGTGCTTTTCAAATTCAAAAATACCGAGCTAAAGTTTTCTTGATTGCGTTTAACTCTTTCAATCTCAGGAGTGACAGGTGTTGGGGTTCCTGTCCCCAGATCCTCTTTGTACAACACCTGTGGGGTAACATGGCTATATTAAAAAAAGAAAAAAGGAACAAGCAAACAACAGTAACACGCAGCTTGCTGAGAGAACACGCAGAACATGAGAGGTGTTTTTCTGAGATGCCCTGAATAAACATAGGGATTAAAAAATCCATAAAAATAAAAAACTAGTTTAAAACTCTGAAGATAGAGTTAAACACTAATATATCGGTATGACTTCTACTAGAATGCTAGAATACCTTCCTGACTTACTTAAGTGCTTCTCAAGGTGGACATTTAAAACTGGTGAGTATTTAGAAGATTAAAGTCTTATATAAATTATAATGAAGTATATTATTGGCTTTTCACCAGCAGTGAGGTAAACTTCTTCCTGACCATAATTGAGTCATTGGAGGACCAGGTCCTAATGCACCTTCCTAAAAGTTCTTCTGTATACACACCCCTCAACATGTGTATACAGCGTCGTGTGTCATCCATTCCCTGAGTGAAACACTATTTGTTGTCCAGAGTTTATCATCAAAGAATCTAGCTTGCTTATTACAGGAAGGACACAGAGACATGGTCATAATAAAGGCGTATGTGTGAAAATGGTACCTGAGAAATTATAATTACTAGTGCTCTCCTATCTTACATGACACTTTCCTCACGCCGAGAAACATCCTAATGCTACTACTTTTTTTACCCTGCAAACCTGTGCTATCACCATATCTAGAGCAGTTTACACCAGCTGGAGATTTGGGCCACCGTCTCTGTGCAACAATATTAAAGACTCCCTAAAGGAAGAAGGCATCAGATACAATGCAGAAGGAATAAAGAAATCAAGTCTGTTTCATTTACCCATTCCATAAACATCACAGCAGGTTACACTGGCATGTATCAGAGCACTGTTATACTGAGCTCATTTTCACAGATTTGTATCAGGCAATAAATAGTTTAGTTTTTATATGCGGTAAAACCAGGGAAAAAACCCAACAACCAAGGATTGAAGTGATTAACAAAAGGAAAGCAGATATTAAAGAAAAGAATATGTTCAGAGTCAAAAGAAAGATGGGAACACAGAATCTAAAAGTTATCATTAGTAAGATGATCTAGTCAAAACAAAGTAAGTAACAATTATGGAGGAAAAAATGTCAAAACATGGGGAACAGGATATTCTTTTTTGTGTAAATTGATTACAGGGAAATACAAGAGTATTTTTTTGGTGTTAAAATTATTGTAAAATAGATTAAAAGGGAAATTGCTGCTTTTCAAATTCAAAAAAATACCGAGCTAAAGTTTTCTTGATTGCGTTTGACTCTTTCAATCTCAGGAGTGACAGGTGTTGGGGTTCCTGTCCCCAGATCCTCTTTGTATAACACCTATATAGTAACACGGGAGTTTAAAAAAGTTAAGAACAAAAAAAATTACTGCATTTGATGGAGGTAACACATGTAATTTTTATGCCAATTAAATATACTAGAAAGCAGGAAAAGTTAGGAAGTACAAAACAGTTAACAATTGTGATAAATGCAGAGGAAGTCTTCTGATAGCTAGAAATACTGCATCCTAAATTCTTAGATATGCTTCAACAGAATAATAAAGCATTAGAGGAATGGAATTAAGCAAATAAAAAAACCAGTGTTTTTTAAAAATGCAAAATACATTAAGCTTCACAAAAAAAGCTTTAAAAATTAAAGGACATGAAGGGTCAAGTGCTATGATTATAAGAAAAATCTTTTAAAAAAGGAGTACAGAAAATATAACTAACAATGACTAAAAAATTTAATAGCAGGAAGGGGATGTTTCTATGTTTATAAGTTAGAGAGAGTAGAAAATTTACAGGTGTTAAATAGTTATAGGAAACTTTTTTCCTTAAATGACAAAAAAGTACCGAGCTAAAATTTTCTTGATTGCGTTTGACCCTCTCCATCTCAGGAGTTACAGGTACTGGGGTTCCAATCCCCAGCCCCTCTTTGTACAACACCTGTGTGGCAACAGGGAAGTATTAAAAAAAAAAAAAAAGGAAAGGAAAGGAAAGGAAAGAGGAGGACAGGGAGGAGAGAGAGAAAAGACAAGTAATTTAATATAGTGAAACTTCAAAGTATGAAAAAGAGAGTTTTGTCAGCCTTGTTTGAAGGCTAGCAAAAAAAAGTCAATGCAAATAATCAGCTAATCTTACTACAAGGTTTGTTGTCATCTCACCTGGGTGCATATAAATAATGCCAACAAGAACTGCAGGAGTGTTTTGTGCAAAGCATAGCTCGAGCCCTGTTACCTGAAAACTCTTTGCATTTATGTCTTTTTGCCCAAAGGAATTTCCTTACTCAAACAAAAGATCTTGAATGAGCAGCTTTGCCTCTCAGATTTCTGAATAGGCTCACCAGTGTAAAAGAGAGCCACGATGACCTCAGAGACAATTAAATGTAGCGAAAATTTTAACAACAGTGGCTTCTCTGAACTGTCCTATTAATCTCAAGTCAGGACTGAATTTCGTATCAGTCATGTCTGAATTGGGTCAGAGTGAGTCAAAATTAGTCCTAAGCTGCTCTAATTAAAACAGAAATATAGAACAAAATTATGATGTAATGGTCATTTGACTGGAATGTGTTAGGAGTAGAAACAATCTGGATAGAAATTCATTACTACAGTAATTTTTCCTTATACATGCAATTTTCGTCATTTTTTCATATTGCAGTGATATGAGGATGCCACCCAGGTTTTCTTACAAAGACCTGTAGGATATAAGAAAGCATCCAAAACAGCAAAAACAGGAAAAGAGACAACACACGCTAGTTGCATTAGGTTTGCTTCAGGAAGTGTTAAGAGTTCATTTTTCATTTGCAGTGCAACCAGTGTGGTGAGTCTGAAGACTGTTAGGAGGATTGACTTTGTTATTGAGGAGGAGAGTGACATCACTCAGACTACTACTATTTCGTTGGGAAGAAAAATAAGGTACTGCTTAACTGCTTTGAGTAAATGAGGTTAAAATCTCACAGCTGGAACAATTTAATGACAATTAAGTTAGACTGAGTGAAAAAGCAAAAAAATATAAGGTACTGACAGGGTTTTAGTGATTTGATTAAGAAAGGGTTGTTCAAAGTTCAACAAAGAACTGAAAGAAAAATTTAATATGGAGGAGTTAAAGGGATTTGATTTGCATTTGTTTTATTTAGCAATACCGAGCTAATGTTCTCTTGATTGCGTTTGGCTCTCTCCATCTCTGGAGTAACCGGTGTGGGGATGCCAGTCCCTAAGCCCTCTTTGTATAACACCTGTGAGGTACAAGAAAGTTTCCACAAAAAAAAGCACTCAACACAGGCAAAATCATTAAATCTGACTATTTTGTGAGTTACGTTTAGCATTAGGATCACTTTTTAATTAATTTCACACTTGTTCTAGAGGCAAGTATTAAGGAAGGGGCTGATGGCTGATTATTCTGTAAATACATAACTACAGATACTAGAAGATAAAGGGTTAAGAAAAAACAAACATGGAGAGAAACACCACGTTAATGTCACAGCTTACTTCCAGTTTTGGTTCTTAAAAGAAATGCGTGTAAAGTTGTAAATCACCAAAAAAGGTTAAAGCACAAACAGGTGGAATATAAATGAGTTAAGAATATTGCCAGGGAAAAGACAGGAGCAGGGTGAGATTCTAAACCATTGAAGAAAAACAGATTATATGTTAGGATGTTATGCAAAAATAAGTTGTTATATATTTTTTTTTTAAATACCGAGCTAATGTGTTCTTGATTGCGTTTGACTCTCTCTATTTCTGGAGTGACAGGTGTTGGGATACCTGTCCCTAGGTCCTCTTTGTACAATACCTGCAGAACACAAGCACCCAGCAAGGTGAGAATATCATATTCCTTCCACAACTACAGTACATTTGGATAGATAATTTACCTCGTTCATAGGTAAATATAATCTGGGATTATATGTAAATATGTGCACAATTTATCTTAGTGTGCATCTTTTTAAGTACAGTCACCAGCTCAGCAAAGTACTTAATGTCTATGTTGAGGTGCTTGAACACATTGAAGTCAATGGAATACTTCATTATAGTAGGTCACAAGTTTAAATGTTCTGCTGACCTGGCACGAAAGGTAGGCATGTTCTGCTTTTCATCTTAGTTTAGGAAATGTAATAGTATTACTTTTCAGGCAGTCAGCATTTCTGGAGGTTTGGGGGTTTTTTTTATGGTGTTAACAAACAGCTGAACCTTTTATAAACATGTTTAATATGAAAATACTTAGTTGTGGGCTCCATTTCATTTTGATCTCTGTGACTATTTGTTCGGAACACCACTATTTTACTTTGCTTTAAGTCTCCAGCAAGAAAAACAATAGAGTTTTAGCTCTCATATTATTAGATTTAACTTAACCTGTAATTGTTTCATTTAAAAAATTACATTTTTCATGAAAGAAGTTGCATAGGAGATGCCTGGGTTGGTTTAAAACATAATCATGTAGAAATACATTACAAATGCACTAATGGTTCTTCTGGCAACTAGTAAAATGCTTGCAACAAAAAGAGCTAACAAAAAAAAATTCACTGCTTGATGTCATTGAAACAATGAAAAAATACAAAAATAAAATGCTCACAGCAAGGGAAAACAAATTATGTAAAAGAAAAAAAAGAAGAATCATTTGAAGAAACAACCCCATTGTGCAAAAGTGAGCTGTAAAAAACATCAGTATCATAAACAGCTCAAAAGGGAAACAGTACTTATAAAACCAGGAATGGAAGATCGTAAGATACTCATCATATGGGTGTCACTGCTCCTCAGCATTGTATAGCAAACATCTGAGGTACCAATAATCACAAGACTGTATCCTGCCTCCATTGTGTATGCAGAGATCAAAGTAAAGCAGTAGTGGCTCAAAATCAGGAGAGCACGTTGTGGTTATTAAAATCTATACTTAACTAGATATGGGAAGAGCCAGGTACTGTTCCCACTTATAATTGTCACTAGGTTTTGTGACTACAAAAAAGGCTCCAATTATTTTTTTCCACAAAGTTCTCTCTAGCTGATCCATTTTTTTCAGACTAATTGTAAGACACCATCTGGGTATTTTTTGTTTCTAGTTCTGTGTTTAGAAAAGATCACAGAAGTAATACAGGGAAGTGGCTGACTCTAATGATCACTGCAAAATTCAGATATTTGAACTTCCTGCTGCTGAATATAGGGATTTAAGAGATCTGTTCTCTTTTCAACAAAAAATACCCACAAACACTACCAAAGTTTGGAGCTTGAGCTCTGCATGAGTATATAGGTAAGTAGAAAATATCGGCCATTACCGAACTGATGTGCTTCTGTGTCTCCTTGACACGTTTCACTTCTGGGAGATCAGGAATTGGAGTTCCTTTTCCAATATTCTCCTTGTATTTAATCTACAAAGATGCAGACATCAGAAAGAAGTAAAAGGACTTACATTAAAGCACAGCTGACGCAGGTATGTGTAAGAAGTTACATGAATAAAGAAACACAGGTCCTTTACACTTTACAAACTCATTCAGATCTCAGGTACAAAATGTATTCTGATAGGAGGAAATCATCAAGGAGCCTTCTATTAGTTATCTGATAGCTAACTCTGCCACACTTCTACAAAGCAGTTTAACAATAACTCAGCTCAGGGTAAAAAAGCAGAGTCTTGTTTGAGCCAGATTTTTTCAACTGAAACTTAAAATTTGGGTATCTAACATCTCCCAGGAGCTTAATTTCAGCAAGAACAAACCCCCTGATTTATAACAACTGCACCATTTCAAGGTTTCTTACACTGTGTTCCAAAAAATTGTGATATTAAAAATTTTAAATAATTTCTAAAAATTTTAGCCTAATGTGAAATAGGCACCTAGAGTCATATGTGGATACATAAAGAGCATTATCCTGATCTCGAGAAGACTGAAAGTTTAAAAGATCTCATTGGCTTTAACATGAGCAGAGAGTTGCTGTTAAAGTATTCCCATCATCTTTACAAGAAATCTGTTAGAAGGTGACTTTAGCTGTTGATGAGATGTCACTGTGAATGGCACTTTACTAAAAGGGTTTTCTAAAAACAAGTGTAAATACCTTTGAACCTGATACCGTTTGGTCTTTCTACCAATGAAAGAATTTTTGATTTGTAAAAATCTATCATATCCAAAGGTGAGAGTCATCATACAACATTTTAACAATTACAGTGCTATTTGCATTTCTACTTTAGCATAACAGAAAAAAAGAATAGCATTTCACAAGAACATATTTAACATACTATGCATGAAACAAATTGGCTGAAATGTTAGTATCTTTTATACTGAAATGATGTCAGCATTCAAAAAAAGCATGAAAAAGATTTACAGGTTTCGAAAGAAAAGTAATACATACAATTATTCCAATTTTAGAGTGTTACAATTTTTTATATAATATAAAAGCTTTATGAGACATGCTTTTGTAAGGCTTTTGACACCGTTTGCCCCGGCATCCTCACAGACAAGCTAACAAAGTTTGGGTTAGGTAAGTGCACAGTGACATGGACTGAAAACTGGCTAAATGGCCGGGCCCAGAGCATTTTGATCAGTGGCACAAGGGCCAGTTGGAGGCAAGTCAGCAGTGGTGTACCCCAGGGGTCACAACTGGGGCCAATACTGTTTAACATCCTCACTAGTGACCTGGATGCCACGACAGAGTGCACCCTCGGCAAGTTTGCAGAGAACACAAAACTGGGAGGATTGGCTGATAGACCCAAGGGTTGTGCTGCCACCCAGAGGGACTTCGACAGGCTGGAGAAATGGGCTGAGAGGTATCTCCTGAAGTTCAACAGAGGGAAATGCAAAGTCCTGCACCTGGGGAGGAATAACCTCAGGCACCAGTACATGCTGGGGGCTGACTGTCTGGGAAACAGCTTTGCAGAGAAGGACCTTGGGGACCTGGTGGACAACAAGCTGACTGTGAGCCAGCAATGCACCCTTATGACAAAGAAGGCCAACGACATCCTCGGTTGCATTAAGGGCGCTGCCAGCAGGTCAGGGGAGGTCATCCTTCCCCTCTACTCAGCACTGGTGAGGCCACATCTGGAGTTCTGTGTCCAGTGCTGGGCTCACCAGTACAAGAAAGATACGGACTTACTGGAGCAAGTCCAGTGCAGGGCCACAAAGATGAGCAAGAGACAGGAGCATCTTTGATATGAGAAGAGGCTTAGAGAGCTGGGACTCTTCAGCCTGGAGAAGAGTAGGCTCGGGGGGGAACTTCTCAATGTGTATAAATACCCAGTGAGAAGGAATGAAGAGGAGGGAGCTACTCTTCCCAGTAGCGCTCAGTGACTGGACAAGAGGCAATGGCCACAGATTAAAAAAACAGAAAATTCAATCTGAACACAGGAAAACAGTTTTTTACTGTGAGGGTGGTCAGACACTGGAACAGGTTGCCCAGGGAGTTTCCACAATATCCTTTGAGATATTCAAAACTCGACTGCAAAACTTGACTGGACATGATCGTAGGCAACCTGCTCTAGCTGATCCTGCTTGGGCAATGGGGTTGGAGTAGATGATCTCAAGAGAACCCTTCCAACCTAAATGACTCTTTGATTCTGTGCCAAATAAACTGTGTTTGCGATGAGATTAAAAATGATGGCAAGAGCTTTCATGTTTTAGAAATGGATTGTAAGTAATAAATTGAAATGTTAATCATTAGAAAGATTACTGTTTAAGTAACAACAGGCAAAAACATTTAGAAAGTAACCCTTAGCTGGATGGATTATTGCCAAGCCACTGTTAGCAACATTTAAGGAAATAAGAAGGGGAAAAAATTATTATTTCAAGTTGAATTAGCACTGGTAGAGTATTAAAAATCAATTCTTTTGTACCGAGCTAATTGCATCCTGGGTTTGTTTAACTCTCTGCATCTCTGGTGTCTTTTCAATAGTAGTTCCAGTTCCAACATCTTCTTTATATAAAATCTTAACATTTAGAATGAAGACAACAAGGTTAAGCATACAAAACACAACATTATTTCTTCTAGAGAGTGAATACAGACTCATGACAGTGATTTGTACACAACAGTGCAGGCCGAAAGCCAACTTGGAGGATTATCTCCAGTCACTGCCTTATTGCCTATCTGCAGTCTGTCCTACTACGAGTGCCGTTCATGCAAAAAAGGGGCTGATCATTTATATATGTAGTCAAGCATTTTAAGTAGAACGTCAAAACATTTGTAGGCTAATTTTAGGATTGAAGACTAGTATTTGTTCTAATTTGTTCCCTTTGTTCTAATTTGTTTTATTATGTTTTACACAAATGTCTTCCACTTAGTTACTTACTATGCTAATGGTGCTAGTGGCAAAATGATACAGCAGACTTTAGGCACTTCATGGTAATATATGAAACGTGAAACAAATCAGGCAGACAGTTCACTTTTCACTGAAAGAAGACAGTTGCAACACAACAAGAATACACTACTTACATGGTAACAGGACAAAAGAAAGGTAGATACTAGTAATACCAATTTAAGTACAGGATTGATTGTTTAACTATATCACAGCTATGTACAAGTGAAAGTGTGCAATCAGGGCGCTCCACAAAAAACAGTAGATCAAAAGGGGTAGCAAAAACCAGCTAAATCTGCTTAGAATAAAATTAGTTTTGTTTGAAAAAGTTCTTATACACATTTAAGCAGATCAAGAACATAAGTACCTGTAAGATAAGAGCCAAAAATAGTTATTTCATTAAACATAGTAAACTGTATTTTTTGGAATGAGAACTGAAAACAGAAAATAACTATACCGAGCTGAAATTCTTCTGGTTTTCTTTCACACGCAGCATTTCTGGTGTGTCTTGTACAACTGTAACTTTTCCTTTACTGTTCTGTAGGTCCCACTGATACTGAAGCTGTTGAAAAAGTTAAAGTAAAATGTCAAATGTTGACTCTATGCCATGAAAATTTACGCACAGAGTTTTGTTTGAAGATGAGGGAAAAAAAATATTTTCAAGTACACCTTATAAGGAGGTCATTTTAACACCATCATTAGTGATATAAAGATGTACCACAGTTACAAGTATTCTCATTTAAATTAGCAATAGGAGATCCTTAACTAGATTCACTGAAAAATCTTGAAAGGTGCCAGATTGTATCTAAAACAATTAAGCCTCAACAATGAAGGTTAAAGATTTTAAGTCAGATTGTGGAGTTCTGTTACTGACCATACAGTCTTGCAGGTAGTCCCACTGACAACAGACAACTTCTGTAAGTATAATTCTCTATTACTTGCAAAGGAATTGTCAAAGCACTGCAGCAGGAAGTTTTTTTCAAGAAAATTGCTGAATCATTTTGGTTTCCTGTGTAATGCATAAGTGGGCTGCTGCATACATAGTGGACCCTCTAACTGAAGATCCCTGAGAATATAAAGGCAGCCTAGTTGGGATTAGAGTGTGACATCGGGACCTTATTAAATGAAAAAAAGCTGAACATTTTTTATTAGTTGACAGTAACAGCAATTATTATTTATATACGTACTGTGCTAAAGTTCTTTTGATTCTCACGGACTCTCTGCATTTCTGGTGTGTCTGCTACAGGCACATAGTATGGCATGGTCCTTTCTGCATCTTCCTTATACTTTTTCTGATAGAAAATACAAAATATATTCCATTAATACAAAAGCCGTAATAAACAATCTGGCATCACTTATTGTTGCATAATGACCACCTTTATGGAAATGTGAATACTTCTCTGTCTGATATAAATTCAAATTATGCCTCTGTGTAAGATTTATTTGAAATGTTAGGTTACTAAGGAATAGGAAAATTAAGCTAAATCTACTTAGAACAAAATTAGCTTTGGTATTGCAAAAGCAATAGAAATTCTTGTTTCATTTTATACAGTATTAAAATAAATTAATTTCAATATTGAAGTGGAATTTCAAAATAAGAGATGCCACAACACAGCTCTAGAGAAATTTGTTTTTCTGGTGTATCTCCTGAATGTTGCGACAGGTAGTTATTTTGGTGCTCCAAATTAGTATGCACTCGAGGTTCGCACATGAACAATGATTAAATTGCTTTACTCAAGATACCTGGCTTGAAAGGTTCTTGACCTGCTGGGCATGAATAATCTCCGGAGTATCAACAACGCTGGTGTAGTTGGCTTTCTCCATTTCTGCCAATTGTTTGTATTTGATCTGTTGGGGAAAGCTCACATTTAGGTGCCTTAATCATATCTTGACAACAATTTTCTTTTGGTTTAACCAGAAAAAAACTGTTAATAAATTTTCCTTTAAAGAAGACATCAGATGTGACATATGAGATATTCACACAGACCTGGCTGGCAATATCAGTGGCATTCTTTGCTCTCACAAAATCTGGTGTCTCCAAAGCCAGTTCTGTCAGACCTTTTCCTCTGATTTCTAATTCCAAGGCTTTTTTATACTCTTTCTGCAGATGAAGACAGTAAAAAGATTCTTTGTCAATGTGAATGCAATACCTTTAGCAACTTCAGATAGTTTCATGATCACACCACAAAATAGGAATACTACTAATATAAACTCACAATTAAACACACAAATGATGTCATTAAAATGTGTACTTTATGACTTAACTCTTGAGAACAAACAGCCCTACTCCAGCAGTAAATGGAACACACTACAGGCCAGCTCTATTATGGTCACTCTTCCTTCTCACACTAGTAATCTCAGAGTGTAAGTTCCTTTAGGTGATCGGTGCAAAACAATAACTTGTACAGAAGAGAAGCGACAGAGAGCGAGCAGTGTGTGAAATGCATGTGGTAGTGAAGAGTGGTCACAGACGTTTCACACTGAGCATGTCCAAAAAATCCAAGATGTCAGGATTCTCTGTGATGTTTTGGACCCTTTGGAATGAATACCCTCCCTAAAAACTCAGTGCTGCAGCAGCCACTCTTCCCAAAGAGATCTTCCACTAAGGTCTAAAAGATTTATTTTTTATAGATTGGTATAATTCATACCTCTCTATGCCAACTCTGCTGAACTTAGCTGAATATGTCTAATATTCTGGTAATAAAATATAGGCTCTTTGAATAACTCAAAAACTCTGCACTACTAAGTACAAAATGCTCGTCAGTAAGGATGCTTATCTTAAGACTATTTTGTTAAGAAGCAAAATCATAAGTAACACTAAAAAGTTACTTTTTTCAGCTTTCAGCCCGATGATGTTAAGGCTCTTAAAATATGAGCTAACCTTATCCTATGAAAACAATCGCTATGAAATATTTATTATAGTAGTCCACCACATAAATAAAGTGGCTGTTAGGTTTGCATCCTGACTGTCTGCTGGCCACCTCTCTCCATCAAAGTGGGGAAGACTGCCTCGGCCATCAGTCCTGCAGTTGCCAACTGGGCACCAGTCCTGGGCAGGGGGAACTGTTCATGAGCATGTATTTCTGACTCATCCATCAAGCATGAAGCATTCAAAAAGAGCTCTTTGCTGCACAGCACACTTCCCAAAGCAGAAGTATGCCAGTCTGGTTCCCTCATTGTAATCCCTTTCTGATCTCTCACTTTGCTTTTTGTTTCCTCAGCCTTGGTCCTTAGTTCCTAATCCTTGGTAACTGCTCCCAACTTAAGATGCCTAGTTTACAAAACTGACACCTCTGGTTCCTATGCTTAGCCTTGCTGCATCACAATGCTGGTTTAGTCTATCTCTCAACTGATCTGACTGTTGATCGCAGCACCTGTTTCCCACCTATTTTCCTCACAGTAACTGCAAAGCCAGAAAAGAACTCACTTAAAAGTTCAGGCTCCCAGTTTTATCCTTAGTCACCCATACACATTCTTTTTTTCTCTCTACTCAAGAGCTTGAATGGGGAATGACAAAGTTAATGTTCCCCAATGCCACTGGGGAATGACAAAGTTAATACTAGTGTTATATAGCCATAAGCATTTATCAGTTGGAGGCTGTTACATCCACTCAGGTATTTTCCAAATAGCTTTTGACATACCTCGTTCAGGATTTGAGTTGCATTCTTCGCTCTTAACATGTCTGGAGTCTCCTCTAAAGCTGTTAGTCCTTTACCTTTGACACCTTCCTCCAGATCCTTCCTATACTCTTTCTGCAGAAGAAAGAAAATGAAAACTGCAAAGCCAGACTAAAGAGAGTTCTACACTCTACAAATTTCTTGCAAAAATTAAAAAAAAAAAAAATTCCAAAAGAGAAAATATTTTTTTTAAAACAACAAAGAATATCATATAGGGTTATGTAGGAACTACTGCAACGGAATAGAGTATAGTAAATATTGTTCAAGATAAATTGCAAAGGCACACACATATACACCCTGCTACGGAACAGTTAGGCTGATGAATGTCAGAAAGGGTCACAGTAAATATGAATACAGTTAACTAGCAATGAAATAAATGTCCACAGCAAATTAGATCACAACACAAAATATATGTAAACATGCTTAATGTGAATGGTTAGGAAAAAGAAAGTGGTGAAGAAGAAATGCTGCTGAAAATACTTAGTGGAATTATTTAACTTGACAGAGGAAATAAGCACAGAATAACTGCTACCTACCTCGCTTGCTATTTTGGTTGCATATTTGACATGTAATAAGGATGGTGTAATCTCCAAGCCAGTAAGGTTTCTGCCCTTAATGGACTCTTCAAAGTCCTTCTTATATTCTTTCTAATGAGAGTAAGAAGAAAAAAAGCAAAATAGCAAATATTTATTACATTATTTTTAATTATGTGAAAAACTACGGGGAGGATGGAGCAGTGTTTTGGTATTAATGTCACAATGACAATCTGCTACAGTCAATGCCGTGGGCACCTAAAGCAATACATCTTGTTTCTACGAAAGCCTATGAAACAGCTCATTACTTTCAATGGAAATATGACCTGACCCAGCCTTTTTTTTTTTCTTTTCCTACTTATTTGTATATGCAGAGAAAACATTCAATGGAATCACTCAAACATAATGACTAATGGCCTTATACAACTGTTTTTCAGCATGTATAGGTCTTCAACTGTGACAGATCAAGATTATACTTCAAACAAACAGAAAAGAACTGCTTGAGGAAATAGAATGACAGGTCAGCAAAGAACACTATGACAGTAGAGACAAACAGGAAATAAATGGGTTTCTCAAAAATAGAGTTCTGAGGTGAAAAGAATAATCAGGGTACTTTCTGTGTATACCGACACACATACTATAGTAGTGTTGCAAAAGTTTAAGCGAAATGTATTTCATATTAAATTTCTTCTAAAGACTCAAAGACTTGCTTAAGCTTCATTTACTGATAGCTTCTTGATGAAAAATTACAGATAATATACACTTCATCGTGACACGGGAAAGCTTCATGAATTTTAAATGTAGTATTTCATAATCAATATAAAGAAATGTGATATAGCTATAATGTGTCTATCAGCATGCACAAGATGCAAGTATAATTGCCTGTCTAAATCACTGTGAAAGTTTTGCTATAAAAAATAAATGTTAAAGTTTTTTAGTCTACCAGTATTGATTTTAACTGTACCTCACTCTGCATGAGCTGAGATTCCTTTGCAGTAAGGTATGTTGGAGTTTCAAAGTCCAACATAGGTTTTCCTTTCTCCTTCTCATACTTTTCTCTGTATTTCACCTGAGAAGAAAAGAAAAAAAAGTTACCCCCCTAAATAATCAAAGAACCAATTCATCGACTAGTATGTGCCTACTTTAGTCAAGAGATCTGTGGTAAAAAATTAATGTCTAATACTGTTTACCTTCCTGAAATCCATATTATTGACCATAAAATGTAAAATCAAAGGTCAGGCTTGCAGCAAAATGTGTGTGGCCTAAACTACTGCTGATTTATTTCCTGTTGCAGAGAATAAGAATAAGAATCTGCAGGTCAGATTTCAAGAATTTACTGATCACAAGAAGGAAGACAGGTAGCTGTAAAAATCTAACTTGAAGGCACTCAGACTGCTCATGACCCTGGCTGAGTTCAGCCAGTTACATGTTAATGGATTGCTGGAGTGTTAGTGGCAGGGCTTGAAAAGATGCAGTTTAGTGACTTGCTAACTAATTCTGTGCATTGAGTGTCCAGGAAGTAAAATGTCCACAAGGATGAAGATATTCTTGCTTCAAGTTATAGCATCCAGCCTTTAGGGCATCAATTTTCAGACTGCTGCATGAGGTAGTGCTATGTCTTTGGCTGAGACAAATCCTGATCTCAAACTGGAGCAACAAGTAGTGACTTAAACTTTAACTACAAACTGATTAACAACCATTTCCTTATAGTCCTTTGCTGTGTAACCTTTTTGCTCTTCCATGCCATGCAGCAGAACAATAACTATGGCCCTTTGTGTTCTAGCAGTAATTTCTCTCTTGCTTTAGAGTCAACAAATACCTGGAATAGAACCTGGAATAGAGAGGATTAGAGGCCAAATCAGAGTATGAATTTCTCTGGAATGATTCACCATTTGCTGTGTTCCAGAGGGAAAAAATGTCAGACACATTTAATAGCAGCACTAGGTATTGTTTTGGTTAAAGCAATTTTGGATGCAGAAAAGGAATGCAGAGGTCTCCTTTGTATCACTTGAGGCTAGAATGGATAAAGCAGTTGAAAATATACTGTCAGCAGCAACCCTACTTCTTTCAATTTCCAGTTTCTGTGATTACCAGGTCCTTTTTCCTATAGACGAAATCACCCTGATAAATGTATTATGCTGTCTAAAAAGATCCATATACAACAGACATAAGTAACTGAGATCTACTCTAGAATGAAGAAATCATACAGATATTTTACATGTGTTCTAAACTTGCAAATGTGCAAATATTTCTCATTGACTTGTTTACTCAGGTGTGCAGTGTTTATAAAGCAGATAGGCAGAGAGATTGTTTTATACTGGAGAATTTGCTAGGATGACTTCAGTGATGGAGACTGGTACTCAGTGAGTGGGGTTAATGAGAAACACATGACCAACTTACGTGGCTCTGTAGTTCTGATGCCTCCCTTAGATGAACCTGCTCAAGATTATCTGGCACCACATGGTAGTGACCCTTACTCTTCTCATATTGCTTCTTGTACTGGTACTGAAGGGAAGGTGTCAAAAATCATCTCAATAAAAAAAAAATCCCTCAGCAAATTTACTTCTTAGGTCCAATCAAAGCAACACTTCAATGGAACATCAAAGAGAAATTAGAAATACAAAAAGCAAAACAAAACCAAGAAGTTTAACTCCCAGTATCAGATATCACTTCTAAAGATGTGGTGAACAGTTATCTTTTTTTGACCATTTTGATTGCAACAAAGATTTTTTCAAAACCAGGATTAAAAAAAGAAAAAGAAAAAAGAAAACACAGTGGATACATGAAAAGGCTGTACCAGGCAATAATGATTTTTGTCTTATTTCAGTAAAATTATCAAGTATGTTGTTAGGCATAATTCTGTACATTTACAACAGGGGGATGTTAAACATAAACATGAAATGAAAAAACCAGACAAAAAAAAAATTTAAATATAGTAAGCAGTAAAGAAAAAAGCAAAAAAAAGAAGAAAATAGTATTTGTTAGTGTGATGCAATCAGTTAAAATGTAATAAAGAATCAATTCACTAAAAATTATTAGAGGATTTAAAATATTAGCAGTTCTACAGCTAATAAAGATTTCACTTCCCAGAGGACAAATGTGGCAAAGTTGCTAGTTAACTAGGAAATAATCATTAGAAAGTAGAGGAAGAGATCACTACCAGGTGATGTCCCATCAACAATAACAGAGGGAGTACTTGTTACAGAAACAGTTAGCAGAGATCAATTCAGAGTGGAATCAGTAGTAATGGAAAAATCAAATGGATCTGGGATTAGTTAATGAGCTTACAGCGCTGGCAAGTTGGCTTGTGCTCAGGACATGGTTCATGATCAGCGATTCAGACATGTCTGTGACAGGCTTATGAAGTTTCTTTAAATCCACCTTGTATTTCACCTGCAGGTAAGAAAGGACAAACAACATTAGAAAAGGAGACTGCTAATAAAATCTGTGATGTTGAATGTATTAATAACATAAAGGAGGTCTTTGTTAAAGAAATTTGAAACTTTTAATTTCCCTAGAGGAAAAGCACAAGTAAACGTACCTCACTAGCCATGTTGTGAGCATCTTTCATTGTCTTGTAGATTTTAGCCTCCTTTAAATCATACTTTGGCTTTTTACCCATCTCTTTGGAAAAATTCTCCTTGTATTTCACCTAATTAAAAAACAACCAGGTATTACAACTGTTCTTGAGTACTCACTTGTTTGGCTGCAGAAAGCAAAGAGACCCTACTTCAATGCTGATAGTAAGCAGAAGAATGGAAATGTAGTAACTTGAAGGCATCCACTGGAATAAAGGCTATTTTAAGGATGACCTGACATGGAAAGAAAATCTACATCTGTATTTACAAAATACCACTTGCAATTTTTCTTTCAGTGCACAGGTTACATCTCCTCATTGTAAAAATAACAGACATAATCAAGAGAAGTACGTTGACAAAATACAGCTAAATTCTGACCCTCAGAGATGAAGAATTTTTCACTTGATGGGAACCGTGCATAGATAAAAGATACCCTATTTCACAAAGAGACAAAAACTGACACAAGCATAAAGAGTATTTAAAAGAACTTTTTATGTTACTCTTGGAGAAATACAAGCTTTAAAAACTACCTCAAGACACACTAGCACTGAAGATGGCAATATATCAAATACTTTTACATATACTGTTATACACATATTGTGTTCTGTATAAATCAGAGATGAAGAAGGATGTTAATGATCACAAACAGAATAGTGATACAATTAATTACCAGAAATTAGATTACGCAAGAGGCTTAGTAACACTTCCAAACCACATTAGCATCAGCAAGGTAAACCATAGCGACGTAAGCCATAATATTCCAGCAGACCCAGGCTGAAGGCACAGAAATGTTGAAAGGAATGAGAGTTTTGCTAATGACTTAAATGAGGGCAAGTCCTTCATTCATCATGACTTGCCCCATCCCACTGCTGCAGGTGCAGCTAAAGGCTAATCCCTCACTATTTCTTGTAAACCTACAAAAGGGACGGTTCCATTAGGAATATTTTGGGTTTATTACCTTTTTTGCTATCAGAGATGCATAAAACTGTTTCAGAAGAGTTACTAAGAGTGCAAGAAAAACTCAAAGTATTAAAGATTAAGTTCTGGCTTCTCTAAATGGATCCCATAGTTAGTATGTATGCTCATCACCATTAGAGTAAACATCAGTAGAAAAATTCTGAGGATTTGTCATGCCTTCCCTGTAGTAGTATTCTGCCCGGTCTGGAAACAAGTGAGGCAACATTTCTTTCTGTTTACCAGTCCACATTTCCTTGGAGACACTTTATACTAAATAAGCTAGCAACCCCCATCCCTGGTGTAAAGAACAAGAACTAAACAACCGTCATCAGTCTTTCTGAACCAAGATAATACTTACAAAAAGCATGCAGAAAGCATAAGACTGTGGCTGATGAGGAAAAAGGATTAATGGTTCTTCAGAAAAAAAACTGATGTCCCAAGCAATATTTATGTGAAAATTGAAATGAAAGAAATAAAATACTGAAGAACCGATAACTAAGTTGAGGAACTCAACTTAACTCTAGCTGACTCCTGCAAGAGGGTTTTTTATGACAATTACAGAAATGTAAACAGATAACTTTATATTAGTAAGAAAAGAAAGATGATTGAATGCAGAATTAAATCACATTCCACAATCACATTTTACACTTCGAATTCATTGTCATATTCTTATCCATACAGCACCATATGGTTCATGCTGGATACCACTGTTGCTCTTTTGCTTTGCAAAATACGCCAACATTCAGATAAAACACACAGTGAAACAGGCAAATGCACAAATTATATAGCTGCTCTAGGAAGACAAAGAATATTAACATTTTTGACATAGAGGAATCAGTGTTGGTTCTGACCTCACAAAAATTAAAATCAAGCAGAAGTGTACTAGAATCTGTTAAGTTTTGCAAGCTATGCAACATATGATCAAGATCAGACCATCATGCCAAAGAGTTCACTTTTTTTAAGCCCAGAAGAAATGTTACTGGAAGATCTATGCAAAATTAAAAGCAAGCATGCCAGACAGGCAGATGAAATCCAACTAAAGAAAGGCAACTGGATAAACAAACTGGACATAATGCTTCATAAAGAAGTAGTTTATGAGAAGAAATGTCTAAGAGAAAAAAAAAATTAAAGATTATGCCAATTATTCTTTGCTCCATTACTGCCTCTACAATAGTTAATTTTCTCTCAGAACCAAAATAATCTCATCAAAACATGTTTATAAGACTAAGAGGAGAACTGGCTAGCGTTGGAGCAAAAGCATGGAAAAGGAGGATCTCATCACTGAACAGCAATAAACATAACTTCTTCTTTTTCTTGTATTTCAATTGTTCAGTTTAAGAATCCTTGGTTCTACTGAAAAGACTTGTTTTTCCTGACAAACACAGTGGCTGACATTCAAACATGCAACAGTTACGTGCAGCAGTCATGGCGAGACATGGAAAAATCATAATCCCCCTTTTTTTCATTTGGAAATACATGTGCAAAACTGAAATGGCACAGATCTGTCTGCTGTCACTTCAAAAACTGCTATGCAGCCATAGTTTTTCTATTTTCCAAAGGTTTTGAGATGGCAAGAAATATAAGAAACTATGTGCCCTCAAATCGCACTTCTCAGAGGCTCTGGGGCTGATTTCAGTCATACACTATGCTTCCATTATGCCATTCCAGCACAACATAAACAGAATAGTTTAAATGAAGTTCAAATAGAAGTTTGAAGTTTGAATAGTTAAAATGAAGTTCTAGCGTGAATGTTATGCTTATGGTATGACTGTTCACAGAAAATTACCAGCACCATTTTTCGGGTTTGTCATACACACGTTTACATTTTTTGCAGTTTCAGGAAAACCAGCTCAAGCTTATATGTCTGTTTTTAGGGTTTTTTGGGTGAAAAAGGTGAGTTTTCACATTGCATGAGTGCATTGGAAAACTTCCGTTAAAACCACTGGAAGTTCCAAAACCATTATGAAGGGCATAATAATGTTTCAAGCTTCATGTGGCGTTTCTGAAACAGACAAATTCCCCACCCACAGAATTCCCATGCACTGTCTTTCCAGACACAAAAAAAAGGTGGTCACATCTAACTGAGCAGTCTCACAAGTTTTGCTACATTCAACACCTTTGACACAAAAAGATCCAGTGCAACTGGTGCATCATAAACCCTTTAACAGCTTGGAATTGTAAGATAATATGCAAGCAAGAGACAGGTGCATAAAAATGGCATTCCCAGATGTGTCACTTAAAATTATCTTACATGACTACTTAGCATATTAGCTTTCTTAAAGGTTCTCATCCATGGGGTATCATAAGATGCAGCTCCATGCCCTCTCATATGTCGTTTCAGGTATTCTGCCTACAACGCGTAGCAAGACAGCAAGAGCAGAAATGCAAAAAATGACAGGATTAAAGCATGAAATGGTGAGAAAGAACCAAGTTGAACTGAGGTCCTGGTGGAAAAAATTGTCACAGAAAATAGCAAGCATGTGCTTCAGACTGATCGGAGAACATGACCATAGTATAAAAGTAAGCAAGCTTCTATTAATATAACATACTAACTTCAAAACAGAAGATTCTTTTAAAGGCACAAAATAGAAAGAAAGTGGCTGAAAAAACCTGAATGTCCATCTCATAAAGGATGGATAATAAGAGTTAGGTAAAAGGCTGCTTCTTTTAAAGCCAATACCCAGAAAAGCTAAAAAAAAGAGACCATGGCTAACACTTCAGCCTTAGTATTTAAAAGATCTTGTCATGGCGCCATTTTAAGGAGATTCTATACCTCCATTACTGACATTTAGTAAGTCAGTAGAAAAGTTTATTTAACAAAGAAATACCTTGCATTGGGATTTAATTTTTACTTTAACACATTCCCTTTAAAATATTCCCCTACCCCCTAATCTAGAATAATTTCAGTTATAATATTAGTATTACTCTATAAGTTAATATCATGTCTCATTTCTCTCACTGCTTCACAGTTTCACCAACTTTTTATTATTACCTGGCTAGTTAGCTTGGACACCTCCTTTGCCAGTTCAATATCTGGACGTCCCAGCATGGTTACGCCAATGCCAGCTTCTCCACGCTTTTTATATTCAATCTAACAAAGAAAGAAAAGTATAGCTTAGTAGTGATGTTGTTCCCTTTTAATTATTTTACTGACACTGGTTTTAATAGTATAATTACTGCTAAAGAATTATACAGAAGACTTAAAAAACACTTACATCACTAATTAACTTGGCAGCCTGAGTTGCTTTCTTAATATCTGGTCGATCTGCTATAGGTGTGTAGTGGAGCTTTGACTTGGCATCTTTCTTGTATTCAATCTAATCCGTGATGATAGACAGAGGAAAGAAAATTACTGAGGTTTGTTCATGAGCAATATATCTAATAAGGACACAACAATGTTGCTGGGAAAGTGCATAGTTTTTTTTTTTTAAATAATTTCACAAGGAATGGATTTGGGAATCTGGTTTTGCAAGTTGTCTACAAATGAAGAAATAAGCATGTGCAATTCTGCCTGTATTTGAAGGAATGAAAAAAATTATTAGGTGTGATTTGCACTAGATTACTTTAAATCCTACCATGTGATTAAGTAGAAATATGCTTTTCAAAGAAACCTTTTATTTCAGTGCAATTTTACATTTGTAAATATTTGCACCTTTATCTTTCAGAATTACACCTGAACATGGAGGCTGGGAGGAAATCCAGAAGTATGTGAACTTTTGTTTTTGCCAGCTGACTTTGATTGAATTTGCTTACACAAGCTACTTAATTCATGGAAAGACAAGACAAACTTACTGTACTCTGTTTTTTAGCAACTTCCATGGCATGTTTCACTTCAGGAGGCTCCAGCATGACAGAATAATTAGACTTGCCTTTCTCCTTCACAAACTTCTTTTTATAGTTTGTCTGTTAAGAGCAAAAAGGGCCATGTGTGATTTTTTAATTTTACATAGAGGTAAATGCTACTGAAACTTGGAAATAAGCTCACTGAAACTGCTAAGGCAGATAAAATGCAGTCTCCTCAGTCTCAAAATGTATGGTCCCCAGCTTGTTTGTCATAATTTGCACTTTAGATTACAAAAGCTTGTTATTTGGAGATAATGATTTGTGTTTAAACTGTGTTCTATGAAAAATAAAATCTGAATTAAAGACACCTGTTAGCACTCCAGCCTGTCACTTTTCTCCAGAGTATTTCAACAGATTCCCAATAAAATGTGTTTAGCTCTTTGTTAAAGTCTCATTCTGGTAGTAATTAATCTTTCCTGACTCCTTGGGCATTTTATGATGAGACTCTAAATGTGTTGCATGTATACTAAAACATGCAACAGTCTAATCAATTATAGGCAGCAGGTAATAATCTCACCACAAATTGTTATCACACTAGTTACGTACCTCACTGACATTCTTGGTCACCTCTTTCACATGAGCAGTGTCTCGTGTCTCTGGCAGGGTTGTGTAAGACCCACGTGGAAGCTGCTTCTTGCTATGTTCTTTGTATTTGTTCTGAAAGCACAGAATAAAAATAGGTAAAAAACAGCAATGCAAGCCCCATCCCTCCCCCCCATATTAAAAGGATGTAGTGAAAATGAACAAATAACTCTCCGATGTTTTACCTCAGATACAAGAGAGCTGACATTCTTAGCCAGGAGGATCTGAGGTGTGTCTGGAACGACAAGGTACGTTCCTCGAGCTTTGTTGTGCTTCTCTTTGTATTTTATCTAGCAGGAAGAAAAGATACCATTTTAAGCAATGTGTATCTTGTCTTGTGGCAATTTAAAAAGAAATTAGTATAGTTGTGCCTGCTTGTTAGTGAAAAGGTTTGCAGAAAATCCCATATTTTGATGTTTTCCAAGATAAATTCATTCCAGTCTATATATTCCTACGGCTCTCACTTGGAATTTTATTAATATATGGAATATTGAATTAATATTCCATATACTGTTAGTAGTTATTAAAGATACTTTGTGTTATGCACAAGTTATACCTGCAGCTTTTTTTGTTGTTTTCTCCAGATAATATTTTCATGTCAATAAGGGGAATGCAGAGATATACTGAAGGTCTAGGGTGTTCAGGCACTGTTAACTTTGAACGTTTACTTAATCCATGAACTAGGCCAGTGACATTCACAAGACCAAATTTATTCAGATTTTGCCAATTTGTTAATGAAATAAACAAGTCAAATCAAATAATGAAGTGAGACTGAGAACAGCTTTTCAAAGCTTCCTTCTTAATCCAATCATATTTCCAATAAGGTAGTTTATGTAGTAAATAAAGTTCTAGTAGAACAAAAAAGTGAGTGTTCCAAGTACTTACATCACTCGCCAAGATGGCATTATTTAAGGCCAATACTGTGTTTTTATCATCTGTGACAGAGAGTTTGCATCCCTTTAGGAATTCCCGGTCCAGTTTGTATTCATACTGCAGGAAGAAAAAATAAAAGGTAAAAGAAGAGAGTCTCAAATCTTCTACAATTTTTTTTTTATTCTGAACATGAGAGATGTGGGGAAAGGGAGTATTCAGTTTGTTCTAATTTTCTTACATCACTCTGTTGCAGAGACGACTAACAGGAATGCAGAGATATACTGAAGGTCTAGGGTGTTCAGGCACTGTTAACTTTGAACGTTTACTTAATCCATGAACTAGGCCAGTGACATTCACAAGACCAAATTTATTCAGATTTTGCCAATTTGTTAATGAAATAAACAAGTCAAATCAAATAATGAAGTGAGACTGAGAACAGCTTTTCAAAGCTTCCTTCTTAATCCAATCATATTTCCAATAAGGTAGTTTATGTAGTAAATAAAGTTCTAGTAGAACAAAAAAGTGAGTGTTCCAAGTACTTACATCACTCGCCAAGATGGCATTATTTAAGGCCAATACTGTGTTTTTATCATCTGTGACAGAGAGTTTGCATCCCTTTAGGAATTCCCGGTCCAGTTTGTATTCATACTGCAGGAAGAAAAAATAAAAGGTAAAAGAAGAGAGTCTCAAATCTTCTACAATTTTTTTTTTATTCTGAACATGAGAGATGTGGGGAAAGGGAGTATTCAGTTTGTTCTAATTTTCTTACATCACTCTGTTGCAGAGACGACTTGGCTGCTTGAACAAAGTCAGGCCTATCAGCAATCCAGTGCCAACGGGCCTTGGCTGCTTCATATTTCTTCTTATAATCCAGCTGTTTATAGTGAAACAACAAGAATAAAAGAAGTTAATTGGAAGTTGTGTACTTTACACGTGACATTCATACAGATGCAAATTCTCTTTCGGTCTGCACCAATTTAAGAGAGAAGAGGTAAGAAAGTGCATCTACATCAGACTATGGCTTTCCTCTGAATCATGTGCAATCCAGTGGGAGTCCATTTACTTAGTTTTTCCACTGCTAGGTGGAGAAAGGAATATGAATGACTGAAAAGATATCATGAGTCTGAAGAAGGTGAGTGCTTTCAGTTCCTTGCCTATTGAAGTGGATGTTGGGCCACCGATAATAGAAAACACAGGAGAGCTTCCCATGAAGCACTTACTTTGTCACAGAGAATTTCTGGGACAGTTATGTCTCTGTCAGGAAAACAGAGGGGGACTAGAAGAACAGTAGATGTGTGACATGCAAGGACCTCAAGTGACCTCAAGGACAACTTGCAAGAGTGAGCACTTTAGTATGAAATAAATTAATATATATTTTATTCAAGCAGCATAAGAATTAGAAGCAATGTCCAAGCTCAAAAAATTTCACTGGAACTGAAAATAATTTCTCATGGTCTCCATTGCCAGTCCCAAACGCTATCCATAATAAAATTAAAATATTAATAAAACTGAACTCACATTGCTGTTTAGCTTGTAAGCATGCCTTGGAGTCTTAATATGAACTGAATCTGCTATGACGTTGCAGTGAGATTTATTCCTCTCATACACTTCTTTGTATTTCAGCTAAAGAAAGACAAACATAAAAAATGTTTACAAAGATAATATCATTGTCAACAAGAAAAGCATAAAAATATGAAAAACCATAATATTAAAGATTGCTCCTGTCAAGATAAAATCTTAGCAGAAGAAAAAGAAATTATATCAATACAACTTGGTATCAACCATCTGCCTGAAAGAATGGTCCTCTTCAGCAGCAGTTCTCTTTAAATAGAAAATGTAGCAGGTATAACTCACTGTGAAGCACAGACTACAACTTAACAAAATCTACACAGTAATTCTGCCTCTTTCTAGTTTTTTGCACCTAATAGAAAGGCTTTAAAGAAACATGTTCTGATAGGCACATTCAATGTTTTCTGAATATTCCTTTATACAATCTCAAATTCAACACTCAGTTTAGAACAGAAAAAAAGTACTTCAATTCAAGATCGCTTTTGAACACCTTTGTCTCTTAATGATCCACATCAGTATCTGGATAATATGGTTATTTTTTTTCTCCTAGATTTAGTCGTTATATAAATAATCCATGTAGCATCTGAATGACTTTCACGCTACTTCTTCTCACAGTACTATATTGAGTTACGGAAGTGCTAGTATCCTCATTTTATTTATGGCTATCTAAGGAACGACAAAGCTCAGAGAGAAAGCCTACGGTAGGAGGAGGAATTAGGACCAGGACTCCCAAATCCTATGACATTATTCTAGCCACTTCACATTCCTTTCTCTCTCTTCTTTTTAACCTTCCATTGCCCCATAATAAAAACTTTTTATTTTAGATCAGAATATTTACCTTACATATTCACAATATCCATAGAAGAAATGAATAAACACAGTAATGTATTAAGTACCTTATTCAAGGCTCCACAAAAGCCACTAGCCAACAGAGGAAGAAAACCCAGAAACAAACTCCCCAAATCCATGCTTTAATTAGATACTAGTTCCAGCTCACAGCTTTTATTACTAGTGAGGGCTGCTCTACCCCAGCAAAAATGTTCCAAGAGCTACAGAAGAACATTACACAAAAAAACTTCCTGAACACTTTCATACTCTATTGTGTTTTTTGAAAAAGCATTAAGTACATATGGAGTTTTACATGCAAACAAAACCAATACACTCTAACAAGAAGCTATTTTTTAATGACAGTGTTACATATGAGTTTAAAGTATTGCATATCCAAGTAAAAAGTTAATTATGTGTCTTTTTGATACCACAGACAAAGATAATTTACTTACATCACTTATTCTGTCCTTGACCTTGCGCACATGCAATAACATAGGTGTATCATGGATTGTAGTATAGCCTTTAGGCTTCGCTTTGTTATATTCCAACTTGTAAATAATCTGAAGATAAAAATTATAGATTATATTATTTCTTGACATTATTGGTGTCAATTGAAAAAATCAAGATGAGAAACATTGTATAATGGACAACTGAAAATGCCATATTCTTAATTATCACACTTCAAAGGTCTGAATTCAGAGAAGGAGGTATGCTTGAAAGGGACTGACCACACTTACATCACTAATCTGTTTGTTGACTTTTGTAGTCCTTAAATGTTCTGGAGTATCCACAACCATAGTATACTTGTCTTTCTTCTTTTCATAGTCCTTTTTGTATTCAACCTGGTGATTGGGAAAGAGCGTATGTTAACCAGACAAACCAAGACAAAACATCTTCAGGAGATATGTTTATATTCACGCATAAAACTGCAAAATCCTTCCACCAAAGCCCATGAAAGCTGAACATGCACAGTGAGCTAAACTTTGCAAACCCCTTATTTGCCTAAGAGGCTGGCTATCTATTTGTGTGATTAATTTCACATCTATTTCACTGAGTGTAAAAGCTTCACTTCTATCCTAAATCTCCAAGATTGAGCTAAAAAAGCAATCTCAGCAGATCAGTGACTTTTAAAATTCATAACTGGACAATATCTCATTTTTAAATATTCATCAAATGAAGAGAAACGTAAAACATCTTACACAGTAAAAGATAAAAACATCCACTGAATATGTCATAATGCCAGGCTATTTTAAAGGCTTTGATAGCAGAATTTGTATCTTGATAATTTCTTTCTTAAAGATCTTAAAGATCCCTACTCAGGACTCTAAACCTGTTTTCACAGAATTCAGTGAGAACAGACTGTACACCAAGAATGATAATTCATTGTAGACAGCCTGAGGGCAGGTGGAAGAGGTTAGAACACGTTTTTAAAAAAGAACTTTCATGCTCTATCTTGCATCAGAAAATAAAACCAAGCTTTTAAAACAGGACTATGACAGACAAAATATAAAAAATTATATACAAACAACAAATCATAACATGAAGTCAACTCAGATGAACATGCAGGTCAGGCAGAGTGCTATTTTTTTTTTTCTTCAAAACATACTCAAACTTACCTGCAAGGAATTTTTAATGAGATAATAGAAATCCACGGATAAATTGAACAAAAATGTCTAGTAAACACCCTTCAGTACCTTATTACTGAAGAATTTTGTTAACTGTGCTAATAGTAACAAAGAACACCCCCTCCCTCTCATGTAATTGTTTTCTACTGTTGCATTTCCAGTTTATAATTTAAATGTTATATGCCTGTTTCACCTGGCCCAGTCAGGAATCATTTCTACCATTGAAAAGAGTAAGGTTACTGCTAGCAGCTGTGATTTCAGAGCAGAAATAAATATGTACCAGTTATTTAATAAGCCACATTTTCATCCAACTGGTACAATCAAAATATATATGCTAGAATCCAGATCAAATTAAGGTAGAATATGGAAAATAAATTCTTCACTATAATATCAGAGTCATTACAGGCTTTCTTTTATATCATCAGAAATATAAATAGTTAGGCTCGCAGCTGTGATTTCAGAGCAGAAATAAATATGTACCAGTTATTTAATAAGCCACATTTTCATCCAACTGGTACAATCAAAATATATATGCTAGAATCCAGATCAAATTAAGGTAGAATATGGAAAATAAATTCTTCACTATAATATCAGAGTCATTACAGGCTTTCTTTTATATCATCAGAAATATAAATAGTTAGGCTCTTTGGTCTGTATGAACAAATAGATGAATCATACTCACTTTCTACCTTCTGATTCTTATTAGAACTGGCAAAAGGAGAGAGTATTTTTTTTAATAAACTGTATTATATGACTGCATGAGGACTGCTTTGCTAGCCTTGCTTAAAAGCAGTAGGTAGAGAAAGAAATTGATGAAAACATGATTTACTACAGATCTATGCACCTATACCATTTCTAAGAGCACTTAGAATTGAGACATGACTCTGTTCTGTATCTAGGCACAGTCTGACACCATTCTCAGGTAGAGTGGTAGATAAATGTTGTAATCTACTCGCCAAATTACTTCCTCACGTGCATACTGAATTAAGGGACTTGTGTTGTGAGGGGTGGTCAGTCCAAGAAATGGTGGCAGAGTGAGAATTTGTTTAGGAAAATATCAGGAACAGCTAACATACAATATCTTAAATGTATGGAAAATTGCTCTTTATGTAAGTATGTGAAATATTATATAGAAGTATATATAACAATTATTTATAATGAAAGGAGAAAATGGAGGCAAGATCAGCCTGAGCTGAGTGAAGTCCAAGTTACAGTAAATATTGTTTCAGATATTCTGTTTTCAAAAATATTTTATCATAGCCAGCGTTAAACACATCAACAGAACTCTGGAGTCTGATATCTATAGAAATTTAGAGAACTCCCAAGCAGCATATATTAGAAGTCCAAGCAGCTAATTTGTATATATAATGTCTCCTACAGCAGCAGTTCTTCATATTACCTGGCTCCATAAGTATGTGTTGTAGAGTGCTGTCAGCATATCTGGCCTCAGAATTTCATTACATCCATGTTGCAGGAGCATCTTGGCAAAGGATTTATATTTTTTCTGTTCATGCAAATGGCAACGAAGCACAAAAGAGCCTTGTGAACACCATAAACAACAACACAGCTCTAGATCCCAGACACTTTGAGAGTGGAGAGATTTAGGCCAGGTACTATATGTATTCATTCAGATGTGCATACAACTTACATCTATATAATTAAGAATGTCAAGAGTATATATTAAAAGATTTGCATACTATCCCATTAAGGAAATTGTGAAAATATTTTTTGGGAGATAAAAGTAAAGTATAGATTAAGGTGAGGGCACTCAAACGCCAAATACATCACTGTTGCTTGAGTAATGAGTAAGAAGATAATGTTTGTAAAGGTCATTAAAAGAAAGGTAATAAAAAGTAAATGCATGATACAACATGCATTTTTTTTAAAACCTCTCCAATGACTTCAAGAGGCATTAGATTTCTGATGTCAATTGATGCACAATATATGAAAGTACATACAGTAAAGATTAGCTCACTCAAAAAGTAATAATTCTTTTTGGGTGGCAAAACAAAGACTGTCCGATCAACTGAACTAAAACATCACAACATCACAGGTGAAACCTGTGATACTGCTAGCTATAGACATTTCACACAGACAGAGCAGCTGAGAGTGAACCAGGCACTTTCTGGCAGCACCGGCTAGTGCTCCTACAGTACCTGACTGCTCAGTGTAGTCCCCCACTTGGCCAGGAGGTTCCTAGGATCATCCACAATAACGCTGTACCTATCTTTGAGCTTCTCATAGGCAGCTTTATATAATTTCTGCTCAGAATAGCATAATACAGTGTAACAAATTAAAAGAGAGTGAAGACACAGAGATCATACTTCTAACCATTGAAACCTCTTTACATGGACTATTTAAAGGCTGGGATTGAAGTTCATATCCAAAAGAGAAAAATATATTAACTAAAAAAAAACACAGAGAGAAAATATTTCCAAACAGTATATGCATTTCTAAATTTCCACTGGAAGGCCTAATCTACAATTTAAGGGTGCCTATATTCTATCCCTGCCACTCTTCAACAAGCCATTTTATGACTTACTTTCTTCATGAAAAATAACTGCAGAAGCAACTCTGTATGGAACTAGATTCTTGATTTGAGTACAAAGAGAACACAATGAGATGCAAGGGTAAATACAATGTTATATTATCATCAGACATTTTGTAAGCAAAAACTATAATCCCTCATCACAAAAAACATCACTTGCATAACAGAAGACATTTAGGCAAGTTCATTTCAATGTATGGAGCCCCTGTTGCTAAAATCTTACTCATTTATGTTTCTCATATTAAATTTTTCCTTATTTGCTCTACTGAGCAATAAGAAGACTGAATACTAACAATCTTCCATAACAAATTCTGGTTCCCTGCTTATCAAATTGAGTATAAAATGATAGCAATGGTACTGGAATGGTATCTGTTGTGAAACAGTTTTTCTTACTTAGAACAGGTAATACTGTAAGACATTTACTGTCAGGTAAACAATTCAACATAATGTCTGGTGAAAAAGAATAAAATACCAAGATGTGAGAGTCTAAATATACGCTGCTTTAATGAAGAGCATCAGAGTCTGGTGTGGTATGCCAGCTCTAAGCTGATGAGAATTCACCTAGAACACAGTGCTTTTCAATGGGCTTTGTCCTGTGGGTGTACAGCACTACTCCTAGAAACTCCATTGGTGATTTTAATCTTAAACCCAAGGGCATTCATTAACCCCCTTTGCTACTATGTTGTGTTTATTGTTTCTTTAGCACTACAGGAGAAAAGTAAGAAAAAGTAAGTAGTAGAGTGGGAGAATTCAAGGCAAAATATCTGAAATGAAACAGAGCTATGGTAACTTTGGAAATAATACTATCTTCTTAACACTGATGAAGTTGGGTTTTTTTCAATGTTTCAGGAAAGTAATTGTGATTCTCTCTATACCTTTTTCACATGACAATCAACAATCAGTGTTACTAAGTAAGAAGCATTATTTAAGTTAGCATTTATTTACCAGTCAGCAAAGGAGAAGTTTCTTTGTAATGACAAAGTAATGGAGCAGGGGTCAGGATTTCACTTTTTAGGTACTGTAAACCTTTCCTGTCCTAATACTCAGACAGACAATAAGAACAACCTTGTCTTTCATGATTTTAGCCTGACCTTAAGACATCTTTAAGCCTGAATATATTTTGATTTATTTAGAATTTCATAAGGAAGATCAACCTTCAACTCCGTATTAACATACACACACTTACTACTTCAGTATGAGACTCTACAGAAATCTTTAACACTTACCCCAGCCACCAACTGAGTTGCATGTTTAAAATGCTTGTTAATTGGAGAGTCAGCTACATACTTAAAATGAGACTTAGTCTTCTCAAATATCTCCTTGTACTTACACTGGAGAAAAAAAAAACCAAACAGAAAAAAATATTCCAATGTTAATCCAAAGAAGGGTAAGGCAATGAAAACGTATGATTTTAGAAACAATCTGCAGCAAAACCATGGTAGAATTATTGCATATGTGTGTTTAACGTATCTATAAACAAAAAATAGCTGTAAATATAGTAGTTTGCAGGATGGAAATATCACATCAAGAAAGCAATGGAAATTTCAAATCTTCATAATTTTAAAGCTAGACTTAGAATCACCAGAAAAATTACTACGGAGCTCACAGCTTTGCAAGGAACAGAGGGGATAAGTAAAAGATCATTTTGCCTCTGTTTTATAGTAAGAACTGAAATTTTAGATGCTATATATTAAGTTCTACCATGAGTTATTCATATCAACGTCTAGGTCAGAATTGGATTCTCCTGTGAAAAATTTATCTACAATATAAGCAAACGTCAAAAAAACATTTAGCAACAATTCAGACTGTTTTACTTACCCCACTGTAGAGCACCTTATTCTTTTCTGCCAGAGCAAAACTTGGAGTATCCCATGCATAACAGCCAGTGCCTCTGAGCCATGATAAGTCTTCCTTGTATTTAACCTTTAGAAAAGAAGTAAAAGGATTCAGTTTTAAGCGGCACCAAGTGGTAGCTGATCAGTGCTGAAATGGCACCTCAACACAAGGTGTAGCAAACAGAGCTACATCCATTATTATTCCATTATAAAATAAATTACAGTTACTCATACTTTTCTAATGGACTCAGATTATTCACATACCTAATCTATCATTAGCTATTCGAGTTCCTGTGTGAATTAAAAAACATTTATTCTTGTACAATTAAGGGGTTATTGTATATGTACAGATATGTACTATTAAAGGTTGTTACAGGGTTAACAAACAAATCTAAGCAAATGCAACTGAAATGAATTAAGACTGTTCTGTTAATTTCAAAAGGAGATGGGCTGCAATTTTAGCCATCAGATTTGCTCTGTCATTTCACAGATCTGCCAGGTGAAAGTGTAAATCACTTTAAAAATTTCAGCTGCCTTCCCTTTCTCACAATAAGACTTGGTTTTCATTTTGGAAACCTACTTAAAATTTTCAACCTCCCACACCCAGGAACTATTTGAACTCACATCACTAATAGCATCCGTGACTGCGCGATGATGGTAATGCTCTGGACGGTCTGGGATTGATCTCCAGATTCCTAACTGGCTCATATAATTTTCCTTATATTTCACCTACAAAGAAAATTGAAGAATGAAGTAAAACAATTTGAGAACAGAACATGCTAGACTATGCCGTTTCAAGACATTCCTTTTTCTGAAACATCAAAACTAAAACAGTGGAAATGAGATTAACTTGCATTCACCTTTGTAACATCAAAGGCAATCAGGTGTATAATATTCCAGAGAAGGAAAGAAGTTAATATTAATAGTGCTGATCATATTTTTCTAATTATTTGACACACTTAAATAGAATGATAGCATAAATGGCATATTCTAGGTTATTAAATGACAAACACTAATTAGGAATGAAAATGTTGTATACATACACTGCTAATATCATCGGTAACCTTTCGATGATAGACAATATTCAAAGCATCTTTCACTGTGTGGTACTTGCCCTTAGTATTCTCAAAGGTTTCTTTGTAGCGCAACTGGTAAGAAAAATAACATACAAAAGAATATATTATATTTATCTGTCAGGAATTGTTTTAGTTAAATTTCCTACCTCTTAGGAATGACATCCAGGGATATGTTGCTGTCAACTTCCTAATGTAAGCCGTGAGGAATTTTAAGAAGCTGCAATTGCCTACAGTCAATTGCAATTTGACTGAGATTTATGGTGAAAATGAGAGAGAAAAGGAGTTGGTACATCTAAAGCAACATTTCATCCTATTCACTTTTAGACTGAAGACTGAGGATAAAACATCCATGTATCACAGGACTACTCTCGAGAACAGTGAAAGTGCCACTTTTGGCATAAAACCCCTCTACTTATCCCTTCTTCCTAGAACACTGAAAGTGCCACTTTTGACATAAAACCCCTCTACTTATCCCTTCTTCCATGTCCTGATCTAGAAGAAAGCAGGAAGATCAATCCAGTCTTTGGAGAAAGACTTTCTCAGAGGAGAAATTCAGATGTGCAAAAGAACTGGGATGCCCCTTTGCAGTATTTAAAAACCATTCTTGAGAGCAGTAAGACTGATCATCAGAACAAAATACCAGCCCAGCACATATCCTTTCAGGATACAACAATCTGAAATATATAGCAAAGATCTCACGAATGAGCAGAGTACTCTTAGCCATTGCCTTAAATCACAAATCACTATTCCATGCTTGAAGGAAAAATCAATTTCAACTTAATAACCTTATGTGCAGCAGCTCAGATAATTTTTCTCTCTAATCTACTTCTAAATTAAAAAATGAGCACATTCTCAGTGACATGCAAGTTTACTTCTAACACAAAACTGAGATGAAAATATCTGATGAAAGGTATTCTACCCTGGCTCCAGCATCAATCATTTCACTCCAGTCTGCACTATTTGGAGATTTCATGTGTAAGCAAATTCCTTTAAATCTGTTTTTCCTTTGTTGTAAGACCACACTTCGGTGCAATGGAAAGTGAAAATGAATTAAAATAAATGAAAAAAAGCATTACAGTGACATCAAGTAAAAACTTAATAATCTCCGTAATATCAAATGGAAATGTACATGCAAATGGGGTGACGTAGTTTATGACCCACACTGAGATATTCTATGCTTTGCATGCTTGTTCCCCATTGATCCTTTTTCTGTTCTTTTCATAAAAAAACAAAGAAAAAGCAGCAGTGAAAGTGTTCATGGACTACATACATCACTGGCATTCAGGTATGCTCTCTTGGCTCTGATCAAGACTGGTGTGTCAGGGACAGGAGTGTATTTGTCCTTCATCTTCTCATACTGGGTTTTATACTTTTTCTAAGAGAGACAGCAAAAGGGAAAAGTTATATCTTTAATCTTAGAAGCATTTGCTGATCTGTTAATTATGTTAATGCCCAGGGGTGCTACACTGAGTGCATAACGTCATTCTTGCAAAGCGCTTCTGTCAAAACTTTGGGAAACAAGCTCAGCTGTTCAGCTCTCTCTAGGTCTTCCTGGTCTTGCAGCCGGTGTACCTCAGATTCTGCAAACAAGCACTTAGAAACAGGTATCTTATAAAATACTAAAACATATTAAAAAAGTGTTCTCTTTTAGCACAACTTAGAAAGGAAATGTAGAACTTAAGCATAAGACATAGAAAACTAAATGAAGGGTAAACAGATTTGAGCCTTGAAACTATCACTAAAATTAGAAATAAAACTTCTAAACAGTTCAGCATAGTGGTACCAAACAAAAAAACCCAAAGATCTTACCTCACTGACCATGTCCTTTACATGCCTAGCATGTGTAAAGGCTGGAGTCTGACCACCAGCATGATGATGGGGTCTCTCTTTTGTGGCAAGTTCCACGTACAAGTACTGCAGAAAGAAGAAAAGAATCAAAAACATACATTTCAAGTAAGTTTTACTTCACCTCTCTGAAAAATGTCTGTAAATTCACAATGTATACAATAACCACACAATTTACCCCAGGAAAAAATTACGTGCCCTTTCCTCTTCCATACTATCTTAGTTCATCTTTCTCTATCAGTACTCTTGATATTCTGTAACTGCCAGTAACATGCTCACAAACCAAGAAGTCAAATGCATGTGACACTAGTGACCTCTCTGCCCTACATTCAGACCTAGCTTTAGATAAAAGCATCCATAAGGTCTGGTTTTCTCTGGTGAGCATCTTCATTTTGTTCTGCAAATTTAAAATTCCACAAAATTTGTAGCTAATAACTTAGATAATGAACTACTATATGAATAAAGAAATGAAGATGAATAAAGGTAGATGGATAAAAATATTTATTCCTCTGATGAAGTCAGATTTCAGAGAATTTGAACAGAACTGTACCAGGGTTCAATGCTCTATTTCAGATGGACAAAGCTGAACATGTCCATTACAGAGACAGGGTCAACATGAAAGCTCATAGCCACTTCAAAATGAGCAACAGTCATTTTAAACGTCCTCCCTAGGAATTCTACATTACTTTGAAATGGCCTGGAAAGATTTTGCTGTACTTTAAGAGTATATTAAGAGGGATCCCCTCATTGTTTTTTTATCAGTACAAAATTTTCACCTGGCTCTGTATTTTTTGTCCTTGCTTGGCTCTTAAGAAGTCAGGTGTATCAAGGATGGAAGTGTATTTTGTCTTCAGTTCCTTGCCTGCAGCTCTGTAAACCAGCTGGAAAAAGAGAGGTCCATTAGATTCTTCCATTAGATATGTTCATTTAGCAGCTGAACAATCACGGCTTTGCAATTATAACATCTCATGTATTTCAGAAAACACAGTGAGAGGGTCTGAGCTTAATTATAACTAACAAAGATGTGCAAAAATAATATAGAACTTACTTCACTCAAATGGGTTTTCAGTTCCTGAACTGTTCTGTATCCAGGAGTATCCAATACCACATTGTATTTAGCCCACATCTTCTTTGCGGTACCAGTGTATATATAATTCGACTGGAAAAAGAAAAGCAGTATTACTTAGGAAGCTTTTATTAGTCTTGGTAGTAAAGAAAATTTTACAGTGTAACCTAACGGTGCTTTGAAACAACTAACTAGCTGCATGGCAAGAAATTCTGTCATAAGTCTTTACTCATTTTCATGTACTTAACTTCCTGGAAGTACATAGCATGCACGTAAATAAATCAATCATTGTTATACATGGTTCTACATGGTTCTCAGAAGAAAAATCTTACCCAAAGCTTACGCAGCTGACGAGCACGGACCATATCAGGAGTATCATACAGGAAGCAACCCAAGCCCTTCAACCACTTCAGGTCCTGTTTGTATTTATTCTATGAGGCAATTAGAAAAAGAAAAATCAAAAGTTAACTTTTGGGATAATTTCATTAATCAGTCCCTAAACGCAGTGACAAAGCATTTCTCTATTACAGAATACAATGCAAATGATAGAAGCCAAATTCCACTTTCAGTATAAAAGCAGTATAGAATCATAGAATAGTTTGGGTTGGAAGGGACCTCTAAAGGTCAACTAGTCCAACCCCCCTGCCCTGGGCAGGGACATCTTCAACTAGATCAGGTTGCTCAGAGCCCCGTCCAGCCTGACCTGGAATGGTTCCAGGGATGGGGCATCCACCACCTCTCTGGGCAACCTGGGCCAGTGCTTCACCACCCTCAGCGTAAAACATTTCTTCCTTAGATCTAGTCTCAATCTACCCCCCTTTAGTTTAAAGCCATTCCCC